CGCTCATCTCTGCTTCCTAGGGACTCAGAAGAGATTGTGTGATGGAAACCCCCGAGGTAACCTTGGGTATCTATCGCGGGAATTTTCTGAGCTCGGAACGGCCTGTGTTGCAAAACAAAACTAGATCCGAAGTATAGTTTTGATAAAATGCTTGATTTCCGTCAGTTTTTTGTCCGTTTTTCGTCCGTTCTTGGTCAGGTTCTTCAGGATGGCCGGTTTGTCCGTCAGTTTTGACCCTCAGGTTCAACCGCGTGGCGTCGCCAAACGGTCGAACCTAGCGGTCGAACCTGACGGTCAAACCTAGCGGTCGAACCTGACGGTCAAACCTAGCGGTCGAACCTCACGGACGAACCTGACGGACCAACCTGACGGACAAACCTGACCAAGAACGGACGAAAAACGGACAAAAAACTGACGGAAATCAAGCATTTTATCAAAACTATACTTCGGATCTAGTTTTGTTTTGCAACACAGGCCGTTCCGAGCTCAGAAAATTCCCGCGATAGATACCCAAGGTTACCTCGGGGGTTTCCATCACACAATCTCTTCTACGTCCCTAGAAAGTATGCATACTAACCTAGGAGCTCCCCTGCCCGCCAACCATCCTTAGGATCTCGGCCGACTCAGATGCGATTGTGTGATTTGAGTGACCGAAAGACCCCTCAAACGATTTCCTTTATATAAGGAGGTGTTCTGGATGTACCGACATCTGCCGGGTTCCGCCGTCCACTATACTTTGCACGCAATGTGGGCGGGCCTTAGGTTGACACCATTATTATTGGAATTTCACCAGTTTTCGGTAGTTTTCCACCGATGGACGATGTATCCGTCAATCACGACAAGTGGTGTGTATCTCTTGATGAAACAAATGAGTGAATACATATTCACTTTCTTTCGATGTACCCCCGGGACCTGAAAATTCAAGCAAATGAGACTCTGAACATAGGGAACTACTATCCCATGAATTCTAGCAAATCATCTTCCAGCAAATGAGTATTTGCCCCGTAGACTTCCATTTTCAGTTCGCTTTGGATAGATTCGAAAACGCAAAGAAGGTGGTGATTGGTGGTCATTCTGTTGGAGCCCATTTAGCGTTCCAAGGTATGTATTCGTTTAGTACATAACTAAAATGTCTCTCAGTTTCAGCCGTCACCCGTATACAAGATCTACGAATCAGTGGTGCTTTCTTGAGTGCCGGAATTTATAAACTCCACGAACTGGTTAACACGAAGTATGGTCGTGATTTGGCATTGACTCCGGAAGAAGCTGATTTATGTAGTTGTGATTATGACCTTCTTAAAACTGTCAAATTCCCTATTCTTATTGCTAACTGCAAATTGGAATCGCCAAAGCTATTCCAGCAAAATGTGGAGTTCTCTCAACTGGTAAAAAACGCTCAATACAAGGTAATTGAAAAAAAAGTTTTCGGTATAAACTCACACTTGCTTACAGGAATATGCCGGAGAGGATCACTTCTCTATTTTGACAGAGCTCACGAACGAGAACAGCGTGGTGCACAACGACTTTTACAAATTTCTTCATTCTATTTGATTTACATTTTTTGAAGCATCTTACAGACGCGTTTGAAACGAAATATAATTATTAGATGAATGGATACCTCAAATTCTAGCAAATTGTTCAAAAAGGTTCCATTGAGAGAATTTGAAAAATCTCAATATGGTAATACACAAAAGTAAGTGGTTAACGTACAGGAGGGAGTATAAAATATGCGAATTTTGATTATATATGATGGAATTGAATTCCTTTTATAGATGGGCCTACTTTTTGTGAAGTGAAAACTGTTGCATCCATGATGAAACTGGTCCAGCAATATAGTCCGTGTCGAGCTGAAAAAACTATTTTCGAATAGTTTTTAAAATATGTTTCCCTCACCTGAATCTTCTTGGCCCATTGGGTACAACAAGGGACCTCGCTACATTTTGGGCGGTTTGGAATCTGTTGATAGATTTGATTCATATACGGATTGCGATTCTCGATAGGCGTATCCCTATTGATCATAGCCAGTTCTTGATTCGAAGCCGCAAGCGAGGAAATACTAGTTCCGGCAGTAGCAGCGAATTGCTCACGGAGCAAGATTTCTTCCCACATGTGCGGATCGTCTCCATGGACTGATGGCAAATCGCTCGAAACAGGAGAAGTGACAGAATTGAACAATCCACGTATCGCTTTCGATTTAGTGCTTCCACTCAACGACGACGATCGCACTTTATACGAACCTGGAGCTGCAGTCGCTTTTGGAACCGATTGCTGCTTTTGTGTTGAGTTGATGGCTGTGAAAGCGGAATTGTCACTCAGATTGATTTTCGAGCTTTTCGGCTTTTCAGCGCTTCCCAAAGCACTTTGACTCGCAGGTTGTGGTAGAATTGGTTGGGGTTGAATAGGTTTTCCAATTAAATGTCCTAGAACAGTTGAAGGTGTGGCAGGAGAATGAGAAGAGTGAATAGGTAGATTTGGTGAGTGCATGATGGTATTCACAAGTGGTGTATCCAGCCATCCTTGATGAGAGTCATTAGTTTTTGGAACAGCGCCGCTATCTAAGGGTCTGTTTTGCTGCCCTAAAAATATCTGATTTATTTAATTTTTTTTAACTTTTTAATTGATATTTTCTTACATGGATGATCGGTAGTTACTAGAGGTTGTTGTAAATCAGTTGGCATCGCGAATCCAACCTCCGTTTCGTGATCTTTGAAGTTCTTCTCAACCTCTTCATTAATTTTTGGGCAGTTCCGAGGTGGAGCAGCGAACTGATTAAGACTGGCTCCCGCCTTGAGTGGAGTACATATTCCCAGCAGAGCCAGAGTGTCCAATCCATTGACCGAAGGAGACATATCAGGAAGTACTGGTCTGCTGATTTCTGATTCCTTGTTCTGCGGCATTGGCGATGATTTGAATGCAGAGAAAAGTTCTTCGCTAGTTAGTCTTTTCAGAATTGGTGGATTAGGAGTCACATTTTGGTTTGTTGCTGACTTCGTGACGGATGGAAACAGCTGACTCAGAATAGATTGCTCAGATGCTCCGGGTAGTGTGGATTTGGCTGACGAAGAGGCCACAGGAGCAGCTGAAGCTTGCTGCCTTCTCAACTTCTCCCTCTCTTTTTGAATATATGACTGGATATCGCGTATAAAAGGCATGACCATGAAAAACTTATATCCTTGGAGATAGGCGGGCAGCTCGTCGTTTTTATCAGTCGGAAGATCGTCAATTTTGAACCATTGAATTTTTCTGCAATCATGAACCATATTATTGAAAGTGAAAGATTTAACTATAAGTTGAACAAAAAAGTACTACAATAAATGTTATATGGAGTTGGGTATCAATTCAGAAGAATCCTTTACCTGATTTCTTTACGAGTCTGGGGTTCGAATTTGAAATCCATTGGGACATTCTTCACTAGATACAGTCTGACCATTCCGTCATTGATGAATCTCTGGAACTTCTTCTCCTTCTCCGAATAAACGCCGAAATCGAAGCCAGTCTCCTCAAAAGTCTCACGAATCGCTGCATCTCGAGGTGGCTCATTCTGATTAATTTTTCCTTTTGGGAATCCCCAATTGTTTCCTTTCGCGAAATATGACTGTACAAGTATTACATTCTGTAGTTGTGAATCCACCAAAATAGCACCATAGGTTGGTACAGAAGATTTGTATTCTCTGAACTTAGCGATTACCTGAAAAACGATGCGTAAATCCTTGAAAAGTTGTGCTTGAAATAGTTTTCTCACCTCGTCTGCCCGATGAGCATACTTCCGCAAGGATCGGCAATGTTGGCACATTTGAATAGTGAAGTCGCGAGTTCCAACATTCGGGCATCTCGTATATCTATTGTCTTCAACCATGTGATCGATATAGTACCAATGTGCTAATTCAAGATGAAAGCAAACGCGAATGTCATCATTAATCTGTGAATAAAAATCAGTGAAAAATGAAAATTCTTTCAAGATCTTACTTCACTTTCAATCATGTTACTGATGAATCGAAATTCAATCTCATCAAGAATATCTGATGGAATTCGTGGACCTCTGGACTGAGGGTATTGCTGTACCGATTGTTGTTGCGAATATTCCGATCCAGATGCATTCCGTCCCCCTCCTTTTGAAGTTGATATTTGACGAGGTCGCTTCGTTTGTGATTTCACATTTTCGGCCTGTTGTTGTTGCATTCTTGCCCCAACACTAGCACCTTTCTGCTTCTTTTTATCGTCCACACGCTTCTTCTGCTTATCATTTGTATTTTTTTTTGGTTTTGATGTGGACGGCTCATTAACTGAAACAACAGGCTCCTTTTTTTGAGCTTGCTGGAGAGAAGCTAGCAGTTTCTGCACACTTGAAGATTCCTCCTTCGACATATCTTTCTGAAAAATGGCACCTTTTTGATTTTGGATTTAAATGTCGAATATCTAACAAAAACCGAACTTTTCAAAAGCTCAAACGAGTCACATTTTGGAGCCTCAAGGTTTTTTTTTTCAAAACCGGCCGAATTGAATTTCAGAAAAGGTGGAAAAGCAAAACGGAACTTATTGTGATTGACGCAGGAGACAATTTGATAACAGAACATTTCGAAATCGACTGTGCCATTGGCGCAGGAATAAGATTCCTCATTGCTAAAAAGAGGTAACATAGTGCGACGATACGCATGATAAAAATAAATGATTGTGCACAGAACTTCCTTCATTCACATATTGATGGTAAACAAACACATTAATATAAAATCAAAAACATTGTTTATCAATTAGTTAATAGTCGGGTTCTGTATACATAGATCATCTAACTCCTGTTCGAAGATTGGCACATTCTCAACAAGTTCTCAATCTCATATTCTAAAGATGTCAAATTTCCAGGAACAACCGCCTCCATGTGTGCTGCTAGGTCAGGATTTCTAGTGTACGAAGCGATACGATTTTTAATTGATTGAGCCAGATTGACAACAGCACTGGGCTGATAAGGATCAGCATTAAAAGCAGCAGCGACAGGTGTCTCGGAACGACTCGGACCAGCATTAATACTTTGAGGTGCTGTGCAAAATCCTTGTTCGGATCCAAACATTCGAGATCCATTAGGGGTTCCATATCTTTCAGAATTGGCATACTGGCTGCCCGATGGCTGATTTTGGAAGGGCCCAATATTCGAAGAAGCACTTGAATGCATTTCTTGTTCACGTCGAAGACTCGCTTCATAAGCCATCTTTGCTTGCCTCTTCTGTCGGCTGATGTCATCATCTTCTTCTAACTCATGAGCATCGGGACCAAGCTGAACACAGGAATATTCGAGAGAATGAATCTCTATACACTTACATTTCTTTTCTTACTTTCAGCTTCGTTGAATTCGAAAGATTGATTCGTACCGATAACTTGGATGACTTTCCAAGCAAAGAAAACATCTTCATTATCACCAGCACGATTGAGCATGGCTGGAGGAACGAGACACTCGGTGTATTGGCACTGGGCAACCATATCCGAGGATCCCGGTTTGCCACGATATCTGTCCGTAATTGCGGCTGCACCTTTGTTTCCAGTCACATCACGAGTCTAAAAGAATTAAGTGTTTAATAACTGGTAAACATTGTAAACCAACGACTAAAAGATGTTTTTGGAAAGAAGTCTAATAAAGATATTCAGGGATAATACTTTCAGGGATGATACTCACCGAGTTATCCAATAAGATGGATCCAACTTCGCCAGAAGCTAATACAAAATTGCCGGTTCTGTTCGAATAATCCTGATACATTGTTAGCGGTTGGGAAAGATCGATCGGCAAATTGCAGTAGCATTCTGACGCATTCACTAGGATAGAGAGACCTACATCCCGTTTCTCAACGATATCCTAAAAATTAACATAGTTTAGGTCTTATTACACATTCTCTGATTACTGTAATTTCGAAGTCTGCATTCAACGTTTTTGCAGACATCGGGATCTTTTTCAAATGGCATGTGAACACGTCTCCGACTCGGATATCTTTGAAAGTTTTCCTGTAACACACGTTCAAAATTACAAAAAAAAATTTTTGGAGCACCAACCAAAATATCACCGCCGATGTCCGATATTTGAAGACATATGCAAGCATGATATTCTTTCTGCGAGAAACAATCAGGCAGTTCAAGGGTGTTCCGTCATTTCTACCGGAAAACGACATGGTGTCCTCGCCGAATGGTTGTTGTGGCCGATATTGTCTGAAATAGGAAGAAAAAGATTGAATAATGAATTAAATTTTCTCTTTCAAAAAACTGACACATGAGAAGAACCGGGCGGGTTTAGCAAATGATTTTGGTTTTCTGATGAGATACAGATTCTAGAGATCTAAATCGGTTCCAAAAATTCCGCTAAGTTTTAAGAAATTAGTTTCGCTTCATACCGTATTATATTACAATAAAAATGTTCAAAACCCCTTTCCCACAATTTTTCCCTCTATTTTCAGCTGTCTGAAATCTTAATTTCAGAAAAAATGGATCGAGAAAATAATTCACTATTTTCCCGCGCCGCAGCCTTGCGCCGACGACGCCCCGCCCGCGAAAATGAAGGAAAATGAGGAACACAAAATGAGCTGTAACTCAGGAATGAGCGAATATTTTTCTGGCAAAATCGAGAAATACGCGAATCAGAAAGAGCCAATTAACTTAGCAGAAATTTTTATGAAAAAATATTGTGGTCCTTATTCATACGGTATCGTTTCTCAGGAAGAGCCTCGTAAATGGACAAGAGCGCAGCCAGCGAGATTTTCAAGTGTCAGTCTTTGAAAATTCGACAAAAGAGAAACAAATTTTGGTCAGATTACGAGGATTTGAGTATCAGATAGCAATTTTGCGTTTCAAAATATCGTTGCGCCAACTTACTCCGGAGAAGGCTGTGGAAATTGCGGTTGACATTGTGACATAGGGCGACTATGATCCTGATAACTTTGCGGACCCGAGTGTTCACAATAACTATTCGGATTGTTGAAACCATTTTGGCGTAGATCATATTGGTTCCCATTCGTCGGAGTGAAACTTGACAGTCCATAGTGTGATCCTTCATCCGCAAACTTATTTTTCTCCGGATTATAGTATGGATCTTGTGATACATGGTCCGCGAATGTATTCTTCTCTGGATTACGGTATGGATCTTGTGATCCATGGCCCGCATACATGTTCTTTTCGGGATTGCAATATGGATCTTGCGATCCATGGTCCGCAAATACATTCTTTTCCGGATTGCCATAGGGATCTTGTGATTCATGGTCCGCAAATATATTTTTCTCGGGATTGGAAAATGGATCTTGTGGCTGTTGGCGATTGCCTTGTCGATTGTCCCATCCAGAATCTAAAATAAACATAAGATTAGCTATAAACATAAGATTAGCTAATTCGACGACGATTCACCATTCGATGGGTATTCTGATGCTCTACTTCTTCTTTCCGGTGAACGAGACTGTGGAAAGATCTGCCTGGCGAACCAATAACATTCTTCTCCTTTTTTGCTCGGTATGGGTCGACCGAATCCCCTCCTGCACACTACATGTGCTCTAGAAATCATAAACATGTATTAGGGATTCAGTATTTCAAGAGCCAAAATTACATTCCGTTCTGCCCAAAGTCCAGATTATTTTCGGTTTGCACATTTCCCAGCGGCTTGTGTTTGAAGTAGTTGATGTTGTCCACTGTCGAGAAGTTGGATGTGCTTGTGAGAACAGTTGTGACCTGGATACCGTTAAAATTCATGAATGAAGTCACTCTGTTTTTCAGATTACCTCAATCTCGTCGCCTGTCATAGCTACTGACGTATCCAGAAACTCGTGGGCATCCTTTTCAATTTTGGTCACCCATAATTCTCCACTCACGTTCCTGAAAAAATTATGAAATGACTCAGAAAATTCATTTTTCGATATGAAACGACTTTTGAAATTTTTTCTTTTCCCAAGGATTTTCTCTTCCCCAGCTCCAATTTTTTCCATACAAGCATAATACTGTCGGTATCAAAAACTTACGTTATTCGGACTGAGATCCAAGACAGAACTTGAACATGCTTTCCCGTGCTGCCGTGAGTAGGCATTTCTGAGAACACAGCATCTCCCACTGGAGTGAGCAACCGTCCCCATCTTCTGTTACCAACTTTTCTTACACTAACTACGAGCCCGTTGATCCAGTCTGGCAGCTGAAAAAATGTTTGGATTCCCATATTCAGATTAAACCATCCCTACATTGGTTCGATCTGGCTTATTACGGCTACTCTTTTGGGGGCGAGAAGGTAATCTATCCATCTGCGGCATTTTTGAGGCCGATAATCCGTTTGATTGTATCTGTTTCTTAAGGTTTTCTTCAAACTGAACCATGGAGTTGGCAAAATCGTCCGAGAATTCTACATCCTCTTCTTTTAGTTTGGAAACACTGCGGAACACGGGCTCTAAGGGATCGAGCCATTGCTTGCTGAAAGAAGAACATTTTTCCAGATAATGATACGGATCATTTTACTCACATTTCGATGTTAGTGCTGTAGACGGTGTTCCCCAATAAACCGTCGGCCGGATCTGCTATTTCAACAAGTCCGAATCGGTTCGAAAAACCACAACTTCTATTGTATGTCTTGTATCCGTTATTGTTTGAAAAGACCAGATGTGTTTTCATCTGAAAGAAAGTTTGGAATTTCAATATTATCATATTTTTCACCTGTGGTGGCCCATTTGGAGTTAGAATCACAGCTGCACCAGGAGGAGAATATCGGAAGCTGTTTGCTTTTACAAAAGTTGTTCCATTTTGAGGTCCTTCCGGTATGAAACGAACCACTCCCCATTTGGCGCACCTGACATTTGAGTTACTGCATTAGTGTGTAAAACAAAATTTCGGCTTACCGTTCGTTATTGGGATTCTCTAGTTTCATAAGCTTAAGAAGAGTAGTTTCGTATACAAATATCTCTCTAAATGACGAATCGAGGACAACGGCACAGTTCTCTATTTCTTTGTCTTCAGGAATCATATTCTGGCCGCTAGAAGTAGGATTCTGGGCACCGAAATTGTTTCGTGAAGTTTGTCTTCCGAATTGCCTGCAAATCAGTACTTTCCCAACTATTGTGTTTTTTGTGTTTCTTTTTACGCTAATAATATCAATTGGCGAGCTGAATTAGTATAAAGACCTAGAAAAAAACCCACAATCTTTCTGACCGTTCTGAAGCTCCGAGATTCCTTTGAGATGATCTTGAAGACTCCGAAGATGCAATACTTCTGTTGTCGGCACCAGCTTGCAAACGTTCCGAGTCTTCATTTACTTTGTTAGGCGGACGGTAGCTATTTCCAACTGATTCATGACCGCTCGGAAGTTGGGAGAACTCGTTCATTGGGAGAAGGTTTGTATTTTCTGGCTCAACTGGTTCGACTCTAATTTTATCTTCGTACAGATAAAGCGATGTCATGAACGCTTCACTCTCTTCTGGAGATGCATCACCGCAGATCGACCAGACTTTGAATCCATACGTGCTCTTTTGACTGAGCTCAGTAGAGTTGTTGCTGAAAATCAATTATTACGCTTCGCTAGGTAAGGACTAACGAACAAGGTGAGCTCAGCTTTATATACTTGGTTTCTCTCCATCCGAAGAGCGACGTTTTCATCGACTTCCACATGGCCAAAGACTCCTGCGTACGCCTTTTTCTTTGAATACGTCGGATGATTGCTTTCAACCGAGAAAGCAATCATTGCTTCGATCTGAATATTATTTATTACTTGTGTTTCATAACCACAAAAACCTACGAGAAGCCTATTTCCATCTAACCGAACTCCGTCGTCTTCAGTTACACTTATAGAATCCGGTTTTGAAACGGGTGTATACACCGCATTTTCATTGGAATAATCGTAATCAGTGAACCGAATGAGTTTACCCGTTGTGATTCTGGAAAACAAATTGTTATTCCTTAATTAATAAGTAGCACTCACGGAAGTTCCAACGGAAGCTTGATATTGATCATTGCTTCCAGCGACGTAGAAAAACACATCGCCGTATGTGAAGCCTCGTCGAAGGAGAGCACAATGGCTGTCACTTCCGATTCTCCCATTTTGGACCTGAAAATTATAGTTCTATGAGAATGAAACTTGGAAAAAATAACAAAACAGAGAGAATGTGAACTGCTGCTTTTTGAAAGTGAAACAACCGCAATTCCCCCACTATCTCTGCGTCTTTCTTCTATGCGCCCTTAAAGAGCGCCATGGGTTCTTCCTCGTGCCATGAGACGACTGTTCTTTTTTGTCTCTCACGCCTACCATATTAATGGGGTTATTCATGGAAAATGTGCACCGAAGCGTTATTCAAGACAAGTGCATTTCAGACAACTTCAGCTAACAATCATTCAAAATGATCTCAAAGACGTATTGCGGGAACAAGAAAACTAAAATTTTGCAAAATATACAAACAGGACACAATAAGTTTATAAAAGGGTTTGCTGAGTTGTTTGTGAGAAAAATTCGATGTTATTGAAGCTGTAAACTGATGTTAAATGCTGAATATCGCTCTAGTCTGACGGCGATGTACGTTTCGGTGGAAAATACAGTTATTTAAGGGCGCATCGTTAAAATCGAACAGTGAAAAAACAATTGCATGCGCCTTCGAAACCGTACCTCAACGTTAATTTATGTTTGCCTATATATTGGGATTATCCTTGTAACGAAAGTGTATTTATATTAGGACGCACTTAAAAGCATAACGGTATCACCGAAATGCATTGACCAACTTCCGATTCTCATGAAACTTCAATCGAATTTTTTTTAAAGAGCCAAAAAATTGATGTTGAGGTAGAGTATCAAAATCGCTTCCAAAAAAGAACTTCTATAAAATTTCGCTCTTTTCACTGCTGGTCTGACAATGCGCCTTTAACTATATTTCAAAAACGTGGTGAGGAGCAATAAGTTTTTTGATAATTAAATACATCTAAAAGACATACTCACTTCTTCTCGAACTCGTACATCTTCTCAATAAATTCGGTCACATCGATGTTAGATTTCAGTTTTCCTAACTTTTTCTCTACTCTCAATAGACACATGCTGTTTGGATAATCGGGGTTTCTGAAAATCTGTGAATTATGTCGTCAGTAGGATACACTTACAGTTCAACTAAAACCCGAAAAACACCAGCTGCAGTAAAATCAAAAGAAGAGCAGTCAATGGGCCCGAACCAATCGGTAAATCCTATTTTCCGATCGTGGGTGAGATCATCAGGGTTCTCACTAAACCCAATCCAACTCTTGATGGAAACCACTCCATCGTTGCTTATCCAGCAAACGGTCGGATCGAAGTCGCCCACCTCGATTTCGTGAGCTTCCAAAGTGATTGGCCAGCTAGAAGTCGCAAGGAGACTAGATTTCAAGGTTATTGACCGGCCTTTCTGGAGTCTGAAAACTGAAACTACATTTCGAATCTCAAATGTTTACCTCACTCTTTATCTATAGATTTAATACTATAATTTTCTCTGGTCTCCCTATTCACACATGTAGCAATCCTGGACGAATTGTTGAAATCAATTACGAGGAGCTCAACGTTCATTGTACCTAAGTATAAGAATCTGAAATCTTAGAAAATGAGTCGAAATATCCGAAACTTGTAGTTAATAGGAGTACAACCGAAATTAGGAAGACGCAGACGATTGTCTAATAGTACATCATTTGAAGAGGAGAAAAGAAAGAAAAAAGATGTTGGGAGTGAATAGATAGGAAAAGTAAAAAGATGAGAAGGGTGCAGATGGGAATAATAGACGGGGTTCATTTGGCAGATGGCATTAAGAAAATTTGAATTATTTCTGATGTAGCCGATTGTTCAGACAGTCAAGCGAGGCTGACTTGATACTAAAATTCTCTATTTAACTTTTATGTATTTTTCTAGAGCCCAAATGAGCCAAATAGAGAAAATGCACCAAAAGAAAAAGAAATCATAAAGCAGGTAAACTATCAAAAAAGATATTAAGCATGGGAAAATCAAATAGTGGCTAGTAAAGTTTCTGAAACTTGATGTGCAAACGTTTGGAGTAGAGCAAAAAGTTTTAGATCAGAAAATGGAAATACCGTAAAAACTCTATTGGAGTGCCACCAAAACCGTCAACTTTGAGCCCATATATCTCGGTTCTCGTGAAAGATTTAAAAAAGTGGTTAACTGGCAAAATACTATTGATTTTATAATAAACATTTTGTCAGTTGACCACTTTTTCATATCTTTTACAGAAACAGAGATTTATGAATTCAAAGTTGCCGGTTTGGGTGGCCTTCTATAAGAGTGTTTATGGTACATTAAACAACTGAATACCGTAAAACCTGTATTAGAAGGGCCGGCTTTCTATTGTTCCAAAGTACCTCCGGAGGGCCCTTCTATCAAAGGGGCCCTTCTGATACAGGACTTACGGTAGTTCGAGGTTTCAAAAAACTTCGTGTATGAAAGAATTGCATAAAATGATAGTATCCCAGAAGGACTCACATTTATACTTATTTATGTAAGAAAAAAATATTTCAATGAAAAGATAAGATAAGAAATAAGTCAACTTTTGAGTCCTACAAAAGTGGTCCAGAATTTCTCGATTTGTCTGAAAATTTCAGTGTACATTAAACAAAAATAGAGCTTCAGTTCTGTAATTGACAACATTTTGCAAAAGTTGAACCAACCGGGATAAGTGGTTCAAAAGCGTTGTTTGTCGGAACGATTCTGAAATACTTTTTGTGTTGAAAACCTCTAAACAAGTTGTATTTTTCTAATCAAAAAATTACTGGAAATTGACAGAAATCGAGAAAAAAAGAGGAAGTAAACAAGTATTTGCGAATTACGGTAGTTAGGCCGTGGCAGTGGCTACCAGATTTTCTCTTCCACAGCTCCGATTTTTGCAAATTAAAATAATACCGTATCTATTTTTTTGCAAAGCACAGAAATGAAACACCGCTTTCTATTCGAATGGTAAAGGAGAATGAGGTGCGCTCCCAGGAAATAAAATTTCCATAATAAAAGAGAGAAAAAAGGCGTTTCTTTGTAGAGTGTATGTGTTCAATAAAACGGTGCATGGTACTCGACTTTTGCAATATGGGAAACCAAAAATTACGAATTTTTGCAAGAGGAAATGTAGAGGTATCAGTGTATTTCAAGAAGCATTAAATCCTTTTTATAATTATTCCAAAAAATTGGTTTTTCAATCTTCATGATTAAAAAAATAGTTAAACTTTATTAAATTTAAAAAAAAAGAAAAATGGAAATCAACACAAAAATTCAGGAATTCTTGACATTCCGATGGTCAATAGTTGCGTACGATGCTCTGAAAAAGATCAATTTAGATTGACAATTAAAAAAAAACTCACTTCGACAACGAATTCTTTGTTGTATTGTCTGTTGACATCTTGGAACCGTGTGTCCCCTGAAAACAAGAACTTTCAGACAATGTATAGTTTTAAATGGATAACCAGTTGGCAGTTTCTCTACAGTTCTGCTCCAATGTCTTCCTTCATTTGGTCCGTCTCGAAGGAGAGTATCCAATTCTCCCTGGAATTTTTAACTTGAATGATTTTATCCCGTTAAAAATGATATTTTTCAAGTGGTCCGTCAAAATTTTTTTCTACCGTGTGTTCACTAATAGAAGCCCACCGTCAACTTTGAGCTCAATTATCTCGGTGCCCGGGACAGATATCAAAAAATTGTCAACTGATGAAATATTGTTGATATCATGATGAATAACTTATCAGTTGACAAAGTTTTGTTATGTTTCCCAGGAATCGAGATAATTGAGGTCAAGTTCGGCGGTTTTTTTCAGTACTCATACTAAAGAAAATACGGTATTTCTCGAAAGTCTCTAGACTTCTAGAACTGACAATAACTAAAACAGGAAAAACTTGATAAGAAAATCGTCTTCCACCTTCCATGTGTTGTTATGTCTCTCATCAAGAAGTCTTCCACTTTCATCTCTCCACTTCCAATTCTCATCTTTTTTCTTCTCGACAACACCTGTAATAACTTCCAATGGTGTCTTTTTTAAATCTTTCTGAAACCCACGTCTACACATGGTCATAACCAATCCATCGTCATTCTCTTCAACTCCTCTCATGCTTCTTCCAACCCAATCATTCCGTGCATTTCCAACTGCTGCCGTTGCGTTGCTTACTGGAGGCCATTGTCTAGCGATTGACTCAACACCACCTTCCGCTTCTGGATTTCTGATTGGAGTTTTGCTGCGGCGAGCTGTATGAGAAGCATATGGAGATGATCTGAAATTTTGATATAGCTATACGAGGAGAATTGTGTCTCCAGAATAGGCCGAGGTCGCTTTGCAAATGTAAGACATGGCACAGGTAAGACACGGTTGCCGAGGAGCGGACATACGACGGATGAATGTCTATAATAGCTTGTGTATTTTTGCAAACGTGAAAAAATTGTAAGAAACGGTATTTATAAAAGACAATCATTAGTAATCGAACTATAATGAGAAAACTACGCGTTTTCGATGATGAAATGAGAACCACTTTTTTCATTTTATAATGTTTTTTTTTATGTTTTAAAGAACATTTTTAAGCAGAAAAATATTTGTTAAAAGTTATGGTCCAGCTATTAAAATTGCCTTTCATATTTTTTGTTGCAACTTTTTCCCATTTGCAGAAATACACAAGTTTTTGCCAATCCTTAAACCTTCAACCGCCGTTTGTACGCTTTTCGGCAACCCTGCCTTATCTGTATTTTTAAAGATTGTTGGTTTATAATTTGCATAGTACTGTATCTCTACTGTTGACAGAGTAAATGAAAGGAAAAAACTAACTTGTAGGCGGCACTTCCAAACGGATTCTTCTGGGTCTGGTAGTCGTAAACTTGATCGTTCCTGAAAAATTATATTACCTCAAGACGAACACAAATTATTTTTCCTATTTCCTTCCCTTCATCCCTCTTCTTCTTCTTCTTATCCCCCCAATTGTCCTGAATTCACTCGTCTACCTAATCTGCTTTCCCCCTATTCCAAAATCTAGATTTTCACTCTATTCAGAATGCGTTAAAACTTCGTCTCCTCCTAACACCAAACTCGTAGATATATAAGGATCTTCCTCTTTTGTTTTCTGTTCTCCTTCTTCTTCTTCTTTTCAATGTGTTGTGTGCTCTCGCACGAATGCTCCTAGTCGAGTCAAATTATAATTAGCTTTTTGCTTTCGTCTCCTATTTCTTTTAATGTCGCCCTCCGTTTTTTTCGATGAAGCTGTCAATTATTCCTCACTGGAAAATTGTACAATTTTTATTATAGTTTGACCGAAAAAAATCAGAAAAATGTAGTAACGAAAAACTATTGCTTTAAACCAAATCAATTAGGGAAATTGAGTCTGAGCGTTTTTATGTTCTCTTTTGTCCTCTGGCCTGTTTTCAATGTTTTAAAAACTACTGAACAGTGTTGAAAGTTTCAATGAAATCTATTTAAGTTCTTTGGTAATTGGAAGTTTAATAGTTTTCTTGTTGAATTTCCATCTATTATGAACACGAAATGTGTATCCCATAAACACCAAATTCACCCTATACTTACACTTTGAGCTGAATTATCATATTTCTATGAGAGATAACAAAAATCTGCCAACGGATAAAATGTTTTTCATGGTAACACCAACATTTTATCAGTTCACACTTTTCTGATATCTTTTAACGACAATGCGATGATTGAGCTCAAACTTCAAGTATACGATAGCCTCCTTCTATTAGACTGGTTACGGTAATTGGTTTGATGGATACAGTAACCATTCATAAATCATCTCATGAATGGTAACCCCAAAATAATCATTTTACATTTTTATAATTATCGAAAGAATTCGAAAGTTTTCTAAGACTGAATTTTTTACATAGTCGCGAGTACTGAAACAATATTTTACGAAAACGATTCTCCCACTTTTTTTCGATTCTTCAACTGATCTGAATTATCTTTCCCCTTGATAAGTCAATTCTAATGATATTACATGTCTAATCTACAATCGATATTAGTCCAGTTTTTCGCCTATTGTGGGGTGTAAGCATATTTGTGCTGTGAGTGTGCAACGACTCCGTCGTCTTCGTCTTTTCACCTATATAATTCGGCAGCTCAACTCAACCCGACAACGAAGAAGACGTTAGAGACGGGGTGTCGAAGACGAGAGGAGTGAGAGTGTTGTGAGAGCAGTAATGCCACTTCTTTCCAATTTTTAATTTTTCTCTTCTTATGGGATTATTCATGAGAATGAAATATGCCATTATTCTAACCCATTTTACCCCCGAAGCACAGATCACAGAAAACTATATACTTTAAAACCTTCAACAGGAGGGAGCTAACTTTGAACTTCGAGCAAATTTATTTCTGTTCTTGTCAAAATGTTGCCAACTGAAAATTGTTTTCTCTAAATATCACAAACAGTTTATCATTTGACACATTTTTGATATCTTGCATGGGAGCCAAGAAAATTTACCTCAAACTTGACCTATGGGTGCTCTTCTATTACAGGTTTTACAGTATTCGTCAAAAAATTAAAAGATTGGTTAAATTCTTTTAATGTTTTTCATTTTCTTTCATTTAGTTACACTTGATTCCTAAGAAAAAAGGAAACCCGTTTTGAGCTTTGAAATCACCCATTTCCGTCTCGTTTCCTTGCAGAAATTTTAACTTTTCTGTTCCATTGCTCACTTCAAAATCTACCGTACTGCAAATTAAAGGAAACGCGAGGTGTCATACTGCTTCTCAAGCACATATTCACAAAACCCTCGAGGCAAAATTGAAGGGCGCCTGAGTCCTTTTCTCTTCTCGTTTTTCCTCATTGCCCCCAATGCATTTCTTTACTTTTCTAATTCAATTTATCCGTCCCGGCTAGCTTCTTTTTATGCATGTGCGGATACTGCTCCGCCGTCTCATCAGAATGAGCACTTATAGTCTCCGGGGGAAAAAAGGAAAGAGAGATTCATATATAAGAGGAAGAAGAAGAAGAAGACAAAAACGATTAAAGCGAACCTTTAGATGTCTTCCTTTTCTTGTTTTTGTTGTTCAATCATGGAAAAAGTTCCGTTTGGAGTGCTCACCTCAAGTGGTGGTTACTGTAATCTCAACAAGTTACGCGCTTTTTTTTCTAGATCTTTCGGGACGCAACTTTAGTTAATTTCTGTCGTGACAAGCTGAAATTTACATCGAGCTGTTTTTCAGAAAGACTCTATTGTAAAAATGTTCTCTCGAGAATCACGTAGTCAAGATTTATTCTATACTTCTGTTATACAATTCTGCAGATTTCCTCTTATTTCAATCAGAAACTTCAAAAATGAGGTTTCTAGTTATTTTTGGCTTTTCGTGTTATCGTTAGAAAGCTAATAGTATTTGTTCTTATTATTATTTCAAGGGAGAGCTCTGACCAAAAACTTTTAGGATTTGAGTTCCCGCGCAGTGAAAAACCTAGGCCGTGGCAGTCGGGCCCTTTTTTACATGACAATTTTCCCTTGTTTTACTTCCGCCACTCAAAAAACTCGTCTCGCCGCCGTGGCCTAGGCTTCTTCCTGCGCGGAAATTCAAATCCTCGGCCCCATTCCCCATCCTAATAGGCAAAACTTTTAACCGCGTTTTCCGGGGATTTCGAATTTTTCCTTCGCAATAATATTAGGAAAATACATAATTTTTAAGATATTTCAATTGTTGGCTGGAGTCCCCTTTTCAGTTTATACTAGTTGCAAAGAATTGAGAATCTGAAGATGATGAAAATCACGGAAGGAACAGCTGAAACAGAAAGACCCGAAAATTCAATTTTCGTCGAATTCAATTAGTCTAGTCAAGTGAAAATCCTCAGTTCAATTCTTTAACTGACATCATCAAAGACTAGACCCGAGCAATTTGACCCGATTCACCCTTTTCTTCTGTTACTCCCAAACATCCCCATTTTTGTTGTCTTCTCTTTTGAACCCATCTCATCTTCTTGTTTTTTTCTTCTTCTTCTTCTTTCACTCGTTACTCAAAAATCTGCTTCTTCGTTTTCTTCGGCATACCCACACACCCCAATTCCTCTTCGTTTTTGGATCTCAGTGCAACAAAAAGGAAAAAAGAAATTGAATAATATAGACGTCTCTCATAAGCTTTCTCCCCTTCGTTTTTTTTCTTCCCGCCTCATTGTTTGGTGATTCGAAATGAGACGACAGGAGGAGCCCCCCTTTGCTCCGTAATTTTGTGCTCCTATCCTATCCATCGACACGTCCTTCTTTTCTAATGAAATAGAGACATGGGGATGTGATAATTGCGTTTTGGGCACAAGAGTTGAGAGGGATGGAGAGAGCTTCATGCTTCTTCTCACCGCAGCAAAAGTTCAACAACTTCTTGTGTGAGAAAATGGAGCAATCCTTCTTCTCAATCACACGCCCAAACCTCCCTTCTAAGCCAAAGAATAGGAGAGAGCATGAATTTTTGTTTTTGAATATGACAAAGTCAATATTACCATAAGCAACAGTTTTCCTTATAATTATTCTCTAGTTTGACCTACTTTTTGAAAATTTCCAGCTTTTTGAATTTTTTGGGATTAACCAAAAATATTAATATCTGAAAATTCCACAGAAATTGTGGTCATTCTGACGGTGTTTTTCGAAACGTCTTGTAAATGCGCTCAAATGCGGATGATCGTAATACTACAGTAAAATTAGCGGTGGTCTCGTCGCGAAAGCTTTTAATAACTGCTGACTCGCTACTCTGCGGTACCGGCATTCCATCGGAAAAAAAGCGAGAAACTTATTTTTTAATAAAAACTTCCTGGAAAGCTCTAGAAAAACGGAGCCCTGGCTGTTTTAAATTCAAAAAACGAACACTTTGAATTCACTATTTCTCTTATGTGTTGTTTTTATTCTCTCAACCTCTTTTGACTATTTCTATTTCAAACTGACTAACCTGGCATTGATTTGTCTTGATCGTTGTCCCTCCATCCAGTTTCCACTTTGATATTGAGGACTACTGTAGCTCTGTTGTTTGCTGCAAAAATTCGAAGAGGGTGATTGGTTTTTAGAACGAAAAAAGAATCCAGGATTAAGGAAGGAAAAGGTGTCTGGAGGAGAGAGCAAAACGAGTGTCTAACGGGGAGAGCCACCGCCCCCGGTTATCATCTAAAAACAAACAGCTGTTGCTGGCTCTGTCTTTTGGCTTATAATTGATGATATGATTACATTCAAATAATGAAACCACTCGAATGTCATCATGGGCCCAAAAAGTGTCATTAAACAAAAACAGCTCAGAAGGATTGGAAACAAAAAGGCGGTGCAGCGAGAATTTATGTATCTCGTGAATAATGAACGAACGCACCTATTGATGTCTTTTCGCATTTGTTCGGCTTCCTCCACTGGTGAGAATACACTTCTTCCCATCATAAAACCATTGTCCGAGTGTTGTTTGTTTCTATTTTGATATTCTTCCGAAGAATGTACAATCTTTTGTGGCCTAAAAAAGTAATATAATTTCGTATCCATCCCCAAAGGTCCCTCGTCATTCTGATGAAATGACTCGAATGAGACATTTAACACTTTACTACATTCCGTTTTCTGAGTTTTTGTCTTACCTGAAAACAAAGTTCGCCTCCTTCTGATCATCTCCTTCAACTCGACTAACAACTTGTTCTAAACGACGCATCGTTGGACCAACAGAAGATGCTCTCCATGGTGTTGAATTGGCTGATCTATCAACAACTTCATTGGCTTTCCATTGTGCCATATCCGGATGACAGCTCTGTGTCATTTCTCGATTCACTGATGCTCTCTCTTGACGAGCTCTTTGTTGTTCTTCGAGTTCATCCATTATATCAGACTTGAATCCACCAATTCCTCCCTTCACTTCTCTTCTTTCTCTTGCTCCTGGAGTCATCGAACGAGCACGGCTTGGCTCTCGAGAAACTGGTTTCGGAGGTGGAGGCGGTGGAGGCGGTGGTGGAACTGATTTTTCTCTGAAAATAATTACTGATACAGTGATTATATTGATATCCCTAAGTACCTTGGTGGTTCAGAAATGACTTGCTCCTGTTTCGGTTCCTCAAAAACTCGTTCGTAGTAAAATGATTCCGAAGTGTCTGGTACTTTTATTGATGGCTCCTCTCTCTTCGGAACGTCTTCGTAAATTGTCGGCTCGTCTGGTTCTTCATCTTCAATCTCTTGCTTTGTAGCTGTTCTCAGTTCAGCTTCGTTCAACTTGTCAGGTGGATATTCGAAAGAAACCTGAAAATGAAATTGTCTTTTTTGCAACTGCTGAAAATGTTGTGGTTTCTGATTTCATAGTTTTAAGAGCCACAAAAAACAGGTGATTTAATAGTAAGCGGACAATAGAAGAGTGGATGTTATTTTCGTTTCACCGATTTCCGTAAACACTCTAATACAACGTGCCCCCTCACTCAAACCGTCTACTTTGAGCTCATATATCTCGGTTCCTGTTGAAGATATAAAAAAGTTGTCAACTGATAAATTGTTTATCATAAAGTCATCATTGTTTCATCAATTGGCTCATTATTTGATATCTTGAATAGGAACTGAGATAACTGAGCTCAGTGTGACAGTCTGGTTGCCCTTCTAGAACTTGTTTTACGGTAACTGTTTATAAACAGCAAAGTTTTTTTTTTCGAGAGATGAGGAATTTTGTCTCTAAATGCTTTTTGATAACTCTCTTTTGTTCTAACAGTATTAATTTTAGCTCACCTTATTATAACTTGGAGACGATGGAGTTGCCTTGTATGGTTTTGGGGTAGATGGGAGAGTTTGAGATGGTACATTATTAGAAACAATAAATGCGTAAATCATTCCGAACACACATTTGATCACTTTCCACAAAAAATGAGCTCCATACTTGATCCAATTCCACAGCTTCCTTCCCGCCTTCTTTGAAAATTCCCATACTTTAACGGATCCTTTCTTGACATTGTTCCATAGAGATTTGAAGAATCCACGAATACCTGCATTCTCAGAATAATATGATTTGGGTGTCGAGTTGTGATTATGATGTTCCTGATTACTGTAGCCATTCGTCGCTGGTGGATTCTTTCTGAATCTCACTCCATTCGACTGATGATCCGAGCACGGAGTTCCATCGACACAGCAGTATTGAATAACTGGTTGGCTGTTCTTCTCACATTTCCATTCTTGTCTTCCTCTGAAATTTTTTTTCGGAAAACTCTTTTTCTCTTGTTCAATACCCCGTTTTTGGGAAACCATGGTTCAAACCACGCCCCTTTCTCTCTTTTCTCCTTCCCAGTTTTCCTATCATTTAATTAATCTAACCACTCTATTCAAGATCCGTTTTCTCACTCTCTCCTTATTTATATTTATTTTTCTTTTCTTCTCAAGCAAACAAGATTGCCTCACAAATCTCCAATCCTTTTGGAAGAAGGTCGACTCAATGAACAACTGACTCTTATTATCCTATCTACTCTTTTTTCTTCTTACCCAGAAACTATAACAATGTAAACTCAAAAAGAAAGAAAGAAAGAAAAAGTTTTAAGCGATACACATGGCTAAATTGGAAAATGGCGATCACCTGCTGATTGACATTTTTCATTTAGCCTTCTTCACGCTCTATGTCCTTCCCGACAAGTTTGACTTCTATAGCCTGGCTCTGCCGTTTTCAGCTTATCCTTCAATTTTCTTATATTTTCCTTGTTTTGCAGAGACAAAAAGAGCTAAGCCATGACTAGACTCGAAATGATTTATGATTGTTCTCTCTCATCTTGTGTGTGGGCGAGGAACATATTTTAGGATTCGTGTTGGGTGGAAGATGGCATTTTTTTGATCTTATGTCTTTTTTGGAACTAGTTCTCAAAGTATACACACTACAATAAGTTTTCTCCGTGTTCCGTTAGTCTGGGGCTTTCTAAGCGCATCCCTAAAGTACCGTATTTGCTCTAATATAAGCCCATCCACACTTGAATTTTGAGCTCAATTATCTCGATTCCCGGGAAACATAGCAAAACATTGTCAACTGATAAGTTATTTACCATAATATTACAGACATTTTATCAGTTGACAAATTTTTGATATCTCTCATAGGAACCCAGATAATTGAGCCCAAAGTGCACGTATATGTAGGGTGGGGTTCTACACATTAGAGCAAATACGTTAAACAGTTCACTTTCTAACAACTGCTAAATCTTAAAAATTATTTTTTTACATCTCCAAATTCAGAAGATTCTCAACTCACTTGAATAGATAATAAACAAAATAAACAGCTGTCCAGAAGACTGTTCCAACTGCGTGGATGGCGTCCGCAGCAACGGAAGGCATGACTCTCGAATAGTGCGAAGTGAGCTCCGTGGCGGCCGTCGCCCGTAGGATCCCTTACCCCAGAAAGATCCCGTTGTAAAAAGGCGGCAGGAACGGAAATAGGTCGAAAATGAAGGGAGAATTAGAGATAGGTTTTAGAAGCTGCTAGTTGGATATCCGTCTCTCGATTTCTTTTATCTTTTACTCATCCTTCTTTCTTCTCCTCTCGCCAAAAGGACCCGCAATCTCTTTTATCCTCATCATTTCTCAAAAACTAAAAACATGTTGCGGGCACAAAATGAGTGACGAATATAATTTCAGGTGATGAGAATATGTTCCGAGGAGGAAATTCCGAGAAGCGTCTTCCATATGTCTCGACTGTGTTCGTCGTCGGAAATGATGCCGAGGGTGGGCTACGATGATCATAAATCGAAAAACGAGTGGTTTCAGAGTTCAATATCGAGAGAAGAACATTGTGGCAAGACGTGTTACCAGATCTTCAGAATATGGGATTTCAGTCAAACTTCGATTTGGAGTTTTGTGATGTAGCACTGGAAAATGGAGAGCTGAGTAATGCAGTGGCAGAACATGTACTGAAAATGTGGAAGGAGAATCCTCGTAGTTGGATGGTGGTGAGTAGAATTACAGTACTCCGGGAGTTTTCGGCAAGGGAGCTGGGTGCTTATGCTTGTAGGTTTATCAATAGATTGGAAAAACTGAGACATTGATCTGTAAATTTTCTAAGGCTGAGCAATAATTATGACTATCTTAGCTGTCGGCTTGTAACATTTGGTCCGAAGTGGTAGGAGGTTCGGAACTTGCTCGAAAACGGCAGTATGGCGGGCCATGGTCAGTTTTTTGTTTTGTGAGATGAACTACTACTAGGCTGGAACCTTGTTATAGGTTTGTCGGAGTTCAGGCGGCTTTAGTAGCGGTCTTATCTAGAATCTGACCAACCGCCGACCAGAAATTGCCGGCGACGCCCGAGATAATTGTTCTTAAAGTTATGTTTGACGAAATGATAGAAGCCTTTATTACTCGACAATCGGTGCAATTCTCGAATTTATGACTCAAGCTATACTGTTTTTTTATACAAATTACCCAGGTTTTGGGCGTGTTCTCGACTCACTGAGCAATCCGTTTAACTTACCGTATTTCCTCCAATGGAAGTCCACCCAAACCGTCAACTTTGAGCTCAATTATCTCGATTCCTATGTAAGACACCAAAAATAGGTTAACTGACAAAATCTTTTTGATAATATTATTACGATAAACACTATATCAGTTGACAATTTTTCTATCTTTGATATAAACCGAAAAATAGAGGCCCAAATTTGAAGGTTCCTTTCTATTACAGGTTGGACGTTACACATGTTTTGGGCATGTTACCTCCCACTGAGCAACCTGCTCAATTTAATGGGGATTCTCAGATATTGAGAATAAACAGAATTTGTCAGAATCATGACCGAATCTTGTCTCAATCCGCCTACAGTAACCCATTATTCAGATTCTTCTTGGTAACCGTTACGGCAATGTATCAGTGCCAACAGCATTACGAAAAGAAGAGTACGAATCCATCCGGTCGTCGATATTTGAAGAGAATGGAAGTGAGTTCAAGGGGAAAAGGGTACCCAGTCCGTCTGTCGCATGCTAATTCGTCCGTATCGGGAAGTCCTATTCCACTTCTCCATCTTGTCTTCTTCTCCTTTTAGCTAGTCATTCTCCTCAACGACTTCAATTTCTTTCCTATTCTTCTTTCAATTTTCCCATTTCTCTACATCTCTCTTTCTCTTTTTATTCGAAACCTAAAATTTTAAATTTCAAGTACATTCATCACTAACTCATGTTAAAGCCAAAAGGTGGTTGATATTTTTGCGTTTTCGGTCTCCTTCTTTTCAATTTTTATAAATTTTAAACTCCAAAATTAGTAGCTTATCTATCCCTCAACTCTTACCACTTTTTTGTATTTTTCTTTTACACCGAAACACAAATATTGTCTGGCTGAAAAAAAAAGAAGCTTGCCCTGTGGCGACTGCTGTTTCGGTCGAAAACACTTTTTTTTGTGACATTCGATTTCCGTTTTTTTTCTTCGTCTCCTCCTCCAACTACTTTTTGAGTTATCAAGGTTTGAAGTAAAAAGACGAAAAAATGTAAAGAAGCAAAGAAAGAGAGAGAGAGCGACGAAATCCAGTTAAACGGGTCCGCGCAGGAGAAAAAGAAGGCACTTCACTTTTTTTGAGATGTTTGGTTGACTCTCTCTCTCTTTTCCTCTTCACCGATAAATTCGAAAAATTGGCCCCCATTTTGCACATTCACCTGTTCTTTCAATAATTGTGAGATTTCTTTTTCTGCTCTCGTTTTGTGCTTTAACCTTGAAAATTGCATCTGTATCGTCCTTGACATATTCTGTTTCTCAAAATTCCACCTTAAAGTTCAGTAATTCAGAATCAATAGAGGCTTTATCCAGGTGTTAGTTCACTATATTTTTTTTAATCAACCAAGGCTATTGTACTTTCACAATAAAAAAGAAAAACCATAAAACAAATTGACATTTCTCTTCAATTCAATTCTTTTCCCTTTTCAGATGTCCGTATTTTTGAGAAGGCGTACACAATAAACCGAAACACTCCGGTTGAGGAATATCGTCTCATTCCTTCAGCCATCAAGGATAAAAAGCAGGTGGCTGAAATCATCAAAGCGTTGCAGACGGGAGCAAAAGCTGTAAGGTTTTTATTATCTTCATCTTCAAAACAAGAAATTGTGTTTTCTTTCTATACAGCTGTGTAATCTTTGTATTACAAGAGTATCTTTGTATGGAATTTGCTCAAAGTGGAAATGCCCTGAAAGCAAGGCTATAATTTTCTGAATAAGAAGTCTTTTCTACTTTTAGAGGACTTAATTGTATGGTTAGTAGAATTCATAGTGAAGCTTAAAAACAAAAATTTGGAAACCTCGTGAGAAGTTTCTCTATTTTGTCATTAAATTTATACTTCCAGTTTTGAAAATATTGATCTCCATCTTCGTTTTGTTAGTTTAAAATACCGTATTTCATCTAATAGAGCCCATTAACTTTGAGCTCAATTATCTCGATTTCTGTGAAAGATATGAATGATTCGTCAACGGAGAGATTATTCCTCATGATGTAACCAATATTTTATCAGTTGACAAATTACCAGTCGGTTTACGCCGGGGGCTCAACCTCCTGGCTTTCGCTTACTTTATCTTACAATTGAATTTCTAATTTCAAAATTTCAAAGTTTTCGAAGTCACCAAAATAATTTTTGCCAAATTTTCTGAACATTTGATTTTTAAAATTTTCAAAGTTTCCAAACTACTGAAGGCTGAATTTGTAAAATTCCGAAACCGTAGTGTGTGAATTCTCGGTTTCCTGAAGTTTCAAATGTTTCGTTATCGAAACTTCAGACTTCTGAATTTCAGGATTACCGAATTTCCGAAATTTTTGGTTTCCGAAAGTTCGAAAATTCTAAATGTTCGAATTTAAAAAGGTAGGTCTCCGCCTCTCCGGGGCTGATCCTCCTGGCTCCAACTACGTAAACTCATGAAGAGGTTTTATCCCTCCTTTTTATTCTGGACTAATTATTTTCATGGTCAATACTTCAGTCTCGGAGATTTAGATTCGAAACTCAGCGTTTCAAAAACTCTGAAATGTTTAAACATAGCTCTAGCTAATATTCGAATCATGAAATTTGAAAGTTTTTGAAATCTCAAGATTTTGAGTTTCTGAATCGCCCATTCTAGATTTTCTGGATTTCTGATATTTCTAGCTTCCGAATTTTCGAATTCACTAATCAATTTTCTTACTTTCCGATCTCCCAATTGCTTCCGAGTTTCCGGATTTCTGAATTTCTGAACGTTGTTGTTCGAAAATTAGAAAATCAGAAAATTAGAAATTCAAAAAACCCTTAGAAAGTCGAAAGTTCGACAACTCGAAAATTTAGATGTTTAAAGATTCTATGCAGACAGGAGTGTTGGTTTGGGGGTGAACCTCCTGTCTCACACTTACGATTTCCTTAATTCTTTTTTTCGGGGGCTAGGTTTCGAGGCCTTAAACTCTCACAGAAATTGGGAAAGTTAGAAGTTCGAAAGCAAAAATATCTAGAACAATGTTTTTCTTGCCTCCTGCAAAAAAAAAAGAAATTCGAGAGTGCAGGAAAACAACCCGAAAAAAAACTTCTGAAATTCTCAAATTTTCAAAAAATGTTTGCAAACTCGAGTATTTAGAATTTCGAAAACCAAACTTATTAACAAATATATCAAGAACTCTTATTGTTAGTCGCATTATCTTTTTCCCCCTGTTTCAGAGTTTTTTCCTTTCAAATATTCAAAACACAGACTAAAATAACGTTCCACAAAATCACCTTTCTCTCAGAAATAGCGTAGATAAGAAAAAAAAATCTCGACGGTTAGACGGGGATGACGTAAATATTGCTTCAATAATTTTTAAAAGATTTGCACTGTAGAAATAGAAGAACGTCTCCAGAAGACGTCAGATACAAAATGTCGAAAATAGAAATAGACGGACATCATCTCGCTGCTATTTCGGGTTATCTGTGAAAATTTGGGAAATTTTGGTCCAACGGTGACAGCGCTAGGGTCGGCGAACCGGTAACACCGGACACACTCACACAGAGAATTTGGTGATTGTTAATAGTAAAGATTGATATTTTTTACAGAAATTGAGATAAGTGAGCTCAAAGTTGATTGACAATGTTGAGGCGATGCCGTTTTAAATTTGCAAGAAAAAAAATTTACGACAAATTTTATAGTCTGCTCTTCAATGCTACAATTTCAAAATTCTAGTTGAAAACGTTTTCACCATGTCTGAAGTAATTTTTTGAAGCACCACTATCCCTACTTGGTTTCATTCTGAACTTTCACGCTCACACTAACTATTCAAAAGACCATGGAGATTTACTATGCAGGAAAAGTTTCAAGATTTTAAAAACTCATGAAAACCTTAGAACCGTTCATACAGTATTTCTTCTTATATAAGACTTCCCAAAATTTAAGTTCAAGTGTCCCGATTCCTGCGAAAGATATCAAAAACTCGTCAATTAATGAAATAGTGGTGATATTATGATCAAAAAATTATCAGTTAACATAATTTCGATATCTTTCACAGGAATCGAGATAACTTAGTCCAAAGTTGGCATTAATGTTCTGCTAGCTTTGATTAGAACTATTCAAAGTTCCTATCACCTACAAAATTCGAAACTTAGGCACACGAAGAAGGAGCAATAAACCAGGTGCACGAACAACGACAGAATCGTTTTTTCTCCTCTCCACTTGAATCATTCGTCCGTTCGGTTCTTCAAGTTTCACCGTGTCGATGCCTTTTTCTGCTTCGGAAATTCGATCAACTCGTCGCGGATCCAAACTCTCCAAACGTTTTTCTCGAGATCAACGAACAAAGCAGTCGGAAAATTGAGGATTTAAAGGTGAATAGAGGAAATTTGAAAACGAAAAGACAGGTGAATCAGAATTTAAATTAATCAATTCTAATTTCAGAACGAGATAACACTGAAAATGAATGATCGAGTGATGACGCATGTGTTGAGGCCTGAAAGTACGGATATCAATTATTTTTTCAATTCGAGAGACGGAGATAAGTATAGAGAGAAAATTGCAAGACAGGTGATTATCAACTCTAGAAAATTTCATTCTTTATGTACAGAAAGTTTCAGTTCAATGAAAAACTCAAAAATCATCTTGCTGATTTGAATCCTCCGCTACGACCAGAACCACCTCGATCATCGATTGAACTTGCTGTTAACGAGGCACGAACACATTATGGTTAGTTTTATAAATATCTACGACATACTCAGACAATTTTTGGCTAATATCGGCAAAGATCGGCTAATAGCCAGCTCAACGGCCAAGAGGCGTCTGAGCGGCGGAGAGCCAGAGACTCCTGATGTGGCGGCTACCATGTCGGTCGGCTGTGCGATTTTACCTGCAAACTTTTTGCTATCCCACTCTCGTGAATTTCAGAATATCTGGAACAACAATTATCAATTGGAAATTTAAAAAGAGACTATGATAAACGATTAGATGAATTGGCAGGAGTTAAAGTGAATCGAGGAATTTTTCTGATTCAAGGAACCGACCTTTGTGGAAAAACACAAGCGTTGTGCAGACTTTACAATAAGATTTCCAGTAAGGATGCCTATAAAATTATTTTGTAAGTTCATAAGTCTTTAAACAAAACTCTAAACTATGTTTTCAGCTTTACCAACTTGACTTACTCATCGAACTTTGCACATGAAGCATGGAGAACGATATGTTTGAACATTTGTGAAATGGCGAATATCGATGCAAAAGAAGTTTTAGAGCATTTCAAACTAGCTGGAATTCTGAAATGTCTCGAACAGATTGTACAAAAAGCAGATAAACCAGTCTGTGTATTCATTGACGATGTTCATTTACTCAAATTCGGACATTTGTTAAGTCAAGTTGGAAGGAGAACCGAATCAGTAAGTATTTCCTGGTTTGATTTCAAAAAATCAGAAAATTTTCAGGCTCCGGATAAGCTTTCTCTGTTCATGACGTCATCAAATGTGTCACCAGTGAATGCTGTTTTCGCAGTCACTCAAACAGTAAATGTAGATGTGATATCAGAAAACGAAGTTGTTGGAATGGTACAGAAAATGGCTGAAAACGTGGATAGGAAGTTGACCAATGAGCAATTGTCTACAATTCGCCCTCTGATGACATCTAAAGAAGGAATTCTAATAGCAAAAAGTGTTGCTCATGAGATTCTTCTCAATGGTAGCAGCTCAATGAAAGGAGGAATCGAAGGAAGATTAGCCAGAATAGAAAAGGAGTTCGGAAAAGCAGCTGTCAGCAATGTCGTCAAGTACATTGCTTGTTCTTCACACGGACTTACTAGATTGGAAATCCACGATGCAATTTCAGCTGATAGAGAAGCATTGGAAGAGATGAATATGCCTGTAGTATTTTCTCTTCTGACACTGGACAGTATAATCGAAGCTCTTGGACCACTTCTCCGGAAAGTTCTGATTGATGATCGTCTATGTCTAGCTCCTTCCCATTCATGTTTGTATATCTTTCTAAAAAGCAGATACTTAGTAACAAGTCTCGAAATTCGATCTTCACATCTTCATCTTTCGGATCTTTTCGCTGATTTACTAGTTGATAATGAACAGTCTCCACGTCATGAAATTGCATATCAGGTCAGTAGAGAAATCTGCATGATTCTGAATTCAACTTCTCTTTTACAGACGTTCTCACAGGGTATAAAACGGGACAATGGATCTCCAAACTTCCGAAGGTTACGGCTTCTATGGTATCATTGTCTTCATTCGGGTAATCTGGATCGCCTCAAGGAACTTTCGTTGTGTCATTTCGAATATGTTGATTTTGTGACTCGCTACTTTGGAATTTCCCATTTGTTATCCTTGTACGAAGAGTGTGCGACACAGATTCTTCATCACGATTTGCAAGGTAAAAATAGGCCACAATTAAAAAAAATATTTTCTTTTTTCAGTGCTCTCGGAGCAAGTTCTTGTACCTGCTCTCGTCACCATGGCCAGAGACAGCGAGCAATTGGCAGCTGAAGTTATCGGGAGACTAAGATTCACAAGAACCGACAATAGCCCATTTTTAAATAACCTGGTGGATCAAGCAATGTCTTGGGTCGATTTGTACAACAGACAACCGTTGTTGGTCCCTTTGACTTGCTGGATCTCTCCGCCTGCTACAAAAGTTTGCCGAAGTTTCACACTCAAAGATTGGAAACCGGGGAATACTGTTCTAGCGTTGTTTGCGAATCATCAATACATTTTGATTTCTGGAAACCAATCGGATCCAGGAGTCATTTATGCATATCACATTGCTTCTGAACAACTCGTTGGAACATTCAAAGGACATACTGCAGCAGTTACATGCCTGTGCTCAAGTAATGACAGCTCTTTCTTTGTCAGTACATCTGCCGATAAAACTGTCAAAGTTTGGGTGTTTTCACAGGTAGATAAATCATAGTAATAGAAAACTAAGTAAAACAACGTCTTTCAGTATGAGCCGACGATGTCCCTAACTCATCACACTGCCAAAGTAACATGTGCAATTCTGACCAGTGACGATCAGTTTATGATCACAGCATCTGCTGATTCGTCAGCGAAAATGATCAAAGTGGAGACAGGAGATGTTGTGAGATCATTCAATGACCATACAGGATCTGTGGTGTCTCTTCAACTGACTTCTAATAATCAGTTTTTGATCACTGGTTCCGGAGACTTTGTGGTTCAAATGTGGGATGTGACGAATGGAAAATGTATATCGAGAATGGGTGGATTGATGGCTCCAGTGAGCACATTGGCTATCACATCGTAAGTGTGGACAGGTGTTGAATTTAGAAAGGCCCCTCTAATAGAAGGGCTCCCGTAATAGAAGAGCTCTCCGGAGGTACCTTGGAACAATAGGAGGGTCGGGAACTCTTATAACAACAAACAAGTTTTTTTCCAGAAATGATGCGTTCGTAGTTGTCGCATGTGAAGACGAGACCCTAAAAGTGTTCAGTACAGTAGGAGGACAAGAACTACACGAACTGATGGGACACGAAGGAAAAGTGAACTCTTTGGTGTGTGCACAAGACGACTGTCAACTGTTCGCTGCTACAAAATCCAAAATCTTCTGCTACGATATTCATAATGGACAAATGATTGATGTGCTGGATATAGCTCAACCATATCCAATTTGTAGTTTGAGGATATCGTCTGACAATAACTTCTTGATTTCTCCCTGTGGTCCAAAAGTCACAATTTGGAATGTCACAAAACGAAACCATGATGCACATGATGTTCATGCAGATAAAGAAGGATTCCTGACAGCTGTTGCCTTATCAAACGATGATAAATATGCAGCATGTGGAACAAATAATGGAATTGTAGCACTTTGGGATCTTGAAGTGTGTCAGTGTGTATTTACCACAGTTCAGAACAAAGGAGATCCGATCACATGCATCCGATATTCAATTGACAGTCAGTATTGCATTTCTGGAAATCAAGCAGGATGTATTCTGATTCTGGATGCCCAGAATGGAGTAGTCGTCCGAGAGTTATTTGTGCGTTGAATCTTTTTCGAAAGTTCAGACAATGTTCATTTTCAGATGCACAGCAGCGAAGTTCTTTCGATTATGTCGTTGGTTCAGAACAAAATGATTTCATGTGATATTCAAGGAAAAATGGTCATTTGGGAACTTTTTGGAGATGACGATACACCTGAAATGGTTGCAACTGGAGTCAAGCCACCAATATTCGTACCTCCGACAGGACGGATTATGGTTGGACATTGCTCATTGAGCAACAAAGAGTGAGTTTGGTTGATCTATGCCATTTTATCAATGGAAGACTCAGTATTCTTAAAACTTGGATTTTCTAATATTTTCTAAAACTTTCAGAATGAAAATCTGGGCGTTTCCTGATGAAGGACCTCCGATAACTCGAGCAAAACTCTCCCACAGTGATGAAATCACTTGCTTCGCCACATCACCAAAAGGAGGAAACTTCATAGCCACTGGATCCAGGGACATGTCTCTGAAAATATGGCAAATCGACAAAGGATTCCTGACTCAAGTTCTCGTAGGACATGAAAATGTAGTCACTTGTTGTTGTATCTCATTTGACGAAAGACTGGTTGTTTCTGGAGCAAGAGATGAGAAAATCATTGTATGGAATGTACAAAGTGGAGATATGGTATGCACTGTAAATACGACTGCCGCTATCACTTCTCTTTCTATGACTGGAGATTCTACTGTGGTCTTTTCAAGTAAGCTTTTTTTTTAAATTTCTTATTTCCTCATTATCCAAGTTTCAGCGACGGAAGATGGTTGGGTTGAAACATGGTCTACTACCAAAGGACGTCTTCTCTCAACCTTCAACGCACATCGTCCTATTAAGAAACTCATCAATTCTTACGAATCTCATCGAATGCTACTTCTTCTTGAAAACTGCGCTCAACTTCCTATCCTCTGTCTTCATAACACTCCAGCCGTCGGCATCGAGGCAACAAGAAGACGAAGTGCCAGAGCTCAATCAGTTTCAAGTGCTTCTAACGAACCAGTCGCATCAACTGGCTCAGGGGAGATCAAGAAAGATCCTTCGTCATCTTCGAATAACGGAGGAAACGGGCAGCCTGCTCCAAGGGCAACAGCTCCAAAACCAACTTTTGATATGTTGGAAAGGAGCAAAAGTAGGACTTCATTGATTGAAAAGGTGAGTTGTAATGGGTAGAATACTGAGAAGAGGTTCGTATTTCACCTGTGCCTTGCAGATGATTTCATGCATAGATGTCAAGAGCTTCTGGAGTTAGAGTTGACGAGCAAAAAACTTTTTCTGTCTTAGTTTAACACCTCGTCAACCAAGATTCCTCTCATGATTTCACATATAATACGAGCAAGTTGCGAGCTAGATAATCAAAATTAGAGCCGTTTAAAAAATATTGACGAGCACCTTTCAAGCGGATCCAAGAATTCAAAACATGTACGATTTCATGCAAGCGATTCCAAGAAAAAGAGTTCTCCGTAACAAATAAAAAAAACTAATAGCTATAGTAATTCGATTTCTGATCTCCTAGTCACCACACCGACTTTAATCAAATTTTTTTCAGGATCGAGCAACAACTCTAACACAATCCAATGCTCCACCACCACAAAAATCAAATATGTGTACTATACTTTGACAATACTTTTATACATTCCTCCATTTTTCTTTTTTTTCACTTTTTTTGGTTTTCTATGTTTTTGAATGTTATCTGAAAATGTGTCTCTTAGTGATTTTCTGTCTTCATCAGAATAAAATTGGTTTTTTTTCTTCGAAATGTTGGGCTGCAACATGAAGCTCAATTTTCAGGAACAGGTGCAAAAGAGTTGGTTGAAAAATCTTTTGAAATGATTTTATGAACTTTTTCTGGTACAAAAAGTGGAGTTGTGGAAGAGAAACGCCAGTGGCCGTTGCCAAAAGTCTCACAGCGATAACTACCGTAACCTGAAAGTATGTTTATTTTCCGTATTTATTTTCTCGTTTTTACTGATTTCGTCGGATTTTATGTTATTCAAATCAGAAATTACAAACTTTTGATAGTGAAATATTGACTGAAAAAAAACGAAAGTCGAGAAAACAATATTCGGAAAATACAAATATTTTAGGTTATGGTAGTTGTCGTACCTTCATAGTCAGTCATGTCGACCGGCGTTCGTTTTCTACAGGTTCGATTTTTTGAACCAGAATTATACCTCAAAGATGTTCTAACTATATCACATTTGTGATATGATAGAGATCATTGAGATTCGAAACCAAGAACTCCCAACTGAGTCAGTTAGTCTGAGACAAACTGATGATTTTTCAAGAAGCCTTAATTAGAATAGAAGTTGTATACTGATCATTTTTCTTCTAGAGACAATAACATTTCCCTCCCTTTTTCCATTTTTTGTCACCTCCGTCATTCGACTCAATTTAATCAACTTTCTCGATCTCATTCGTATATTCTTACAACTTATTGAGCAATCCACAGATCACACAATGTGGCCCGACACTCTCTACTGGATTTTCATTGGAATCATTGATATTCTTGCAATTATCCTCAACGCTATTCTCATTTATTTCGCATTGTATCGTACTCCTAAAATGGTTAGAGTCTACACAACCTTGATTATCAATTTAGCTTTCACTGATTGCTGTTCTGCCTTTCTGAACTTTTTCGTGCAACAAAGAATGATTCCGTCTGGTTTCACAATAGGATACATTTCAAACGGATGGTGTAAACTGATTGGATATCGGTTCTGCTTTTTAAGGTTAGAAATAATAGAGGTCATAATTGGGTTATATTCTATATATTATAGACATTTTCTTCCTCTAAAAAGATACCGTATTTCGCTTAATAGAAGCCCACCAAAGTTATCAACTTCCAGTTCAATTATCTCGATTCGTGTGGAAGATATCAAGAATTTGTCAACTGATAAATTTTAAGTGATGTTGGGCTAAACAACTTATCAGTTGACAAATTTTAGATATCTCTTACTGGAAACGAGATATCCTCTCGAAGGAAACAAGATAGGCTCAAAGTTGACGGTTTCGGTGGAAGGCTTCTGGTGGTGTGGTGGGCAATATTGGCACGTCTTCCAGTTCACAGGGAAACTGTTTTAGTTTGATTGATGTTTTTATAAATACATGAATTGAAAATCTTCCGAATTTTTCAGTCACAACTTGATGGCTCATTTCATTGTTCACTCCAACTACTCACTGGTTTTATCATTTGCATATCGATACTACATTCTTCGAAAACCAGAACCCCGAAGGAAAACTCTTCTCATTGTTCTGTTTTTCACATACCTTCCATCGTTTCTTCAATTGGTAAGATTTCATTAGAGAAACTAAACAGACACAAATCAGAACTTTTTATGCAACATGTTTAAGCATGTCATGACAAAAAAGAGTTGAAAACACAGTGAGAACGGCATAGCCCAATATTTCAGGTTTTGTATCAATTCGCGGAATCGGATCCGTCGGAAATAGTTCGCCTACTCCAACCTTATCATCCTACATACAATTTCACTGGATTAACAGTTAGTGGCGTTGCAGATATCAGAAGTGTTTATGCTCTCTATAAGATTCTTCAAATGACTGTTATGACAGTTCCCATATTTTCTACCATTCTTTTTTTACGGAATAAAATAATCAACCGACTCTTATATCGAGGTATCAATATTTCAATCAATACGAAAAGTCTTCATTCTCAACTACTAATGGTTTGTTTTGAAATTAAAAATGATTGGCTGAAATCCGTTTTTCCAGGCTTTGACTTATCAAGCTCTTCTCCCAACACTTTATTCTATCAACGTATTGATGTACGTTCTCGAACAATTCGGAGTTTATTCAACTGCTTTTTTCGAGAATTTCCTAATGTCTGGATTAGTTCTCATTCCATTTTTCTCGCCGTTCACTTCATTTTTCTTTTTCACTCCGTACAAAAGAATTCTTTTGGGAATGGTACTCAAGAAAATTGACAAACGACCAGCAGCCACTTCAGAAACTGGTCCAGGGTCTTTTCCTATCTAAACTGATTTGTTTAATAAAAGTTTATATTACTGTGCTTCTATTCATTATCAGCTGACCGATAATTCGTCAACAGTTCGTCGACGGTCCGTCGATCCTTCTTCGGCTGTTAACTGGCAGTCTTTTGCCAGTTTGTCCCTCTTCAGTTCTCATTCAACAGATTTTAAAAAAAACCATGACATTGTTTCTAGAAGATAATTTTTCAAAGTTTTCAGAAAAAATGTTATACAGGAATAACAGAATTATTTAGAATGGGAGGGAACATAATTCCTTGGAATCGTATTTCTTCTTTGTGAACTTTCAATCGTTTTGCAAATTTCAAATCGCTCAGAGCTCAAGTGATTACAAAAAACAACTGTGGAATAATTTATTTTGTATCTTTCATAACACTCATTTTTTGTTGTTCGCTTCAGTTGTCTTGATATAAATTATATGTTTTTGTTTACTCCTTCTGTAATAATACAACCGAGACTGATTTATTTTTTGCTCTCAATAGTCGGAAAAATTTCAACTAGAACTAACGAATGACTGTGTGAATTTACAACTAAGCCTTTCGAAACATGTTCTCATGTTCTCGTCATTAACTAATAACCCATCTCTTTAAAATTTTACATACCATAAAACCTTGTTCTGGAAGGACCCTTTAACTTATAACCTTTGAACCAATTTTTCTCGGTTCCTGTAAAAAATATCTAACTCGTCAGTTAACAGATCTTCTGTATCTTGCATAGAAATTGAGGTAATTGAGCTCGATCTTGACAGTGAGGGGGCCCTATTATTACAGGTTTCATAGTATATTTCACACAAGCCGATCGATGGAAGATGGAAAAAAAACGCCCATGTATTCTTATCTCCAATATACGATCGTTCATCTAAATTCTTCCTTGCATTGTCTCGGAGAAAAATCCTCAACTAAATCGGTCACATGTCCTTTCAATGTAGAAAACATGTTAGGTGAATTAGCTGAACATTTCCTTGTTATCACTTTCGAATCTCATTTAAGTCTCGAGAGCATCGAACATTAATGCCTACTGAGCAGGATTACAAAACTGTCTGATATTAAAAATGAACAAGAAGCTGGAATAGTAAGAAACATGATTATTGAGTACTGTGATCTAATTATTTGTTACTATGACTCTGGTATCAATTGATAATGATTGTGGAAGAGAAAACTACAGTGACCTAAAAATATTCAACGTTTCTCAGAATTTTTTCTAGGCTTCCAACCGACGATTTTCCCGCACAAAACAAGAAAGTGGTATGAACCATCTGGTAGGAAAAATGGGCGGAGTCGGGGGCAGAGCGTAAGTTGCAAGGTGCGCACAGTTTATTCCATGGTTAGACAATAAAGGTCGTGCGGCAAAACCGTTCGCACCTTGCAACTCCGGACCGGCTCTCCCATTTTTCCTACCAGATAGTTCTTCGTTTCCTCCCAGTTAGTGTTCTTTAAGTTTTCTGGCTACGGTAGTTCCGAGATATTCGAATTCGCCCAATAAACCTCGTTCTGCTTTCTTAAACTTGGTCATCGTTCGAGTTTTGAGATGTGTCTCTCAATAACTGATTCCTCGCTTCATTTGAACTTCATAAAGTAATCCCAGAAACTGCGTAGTGCCGTTTCTATCAAATTCTTTCTGAAAATGTTCATCAATCTCAATGATCTTGTGTCAATGGTCAGTAACTAATCGGTTTTATTTGTTCAAGCGTCCTCGAAAACGGACGGTCCATCACTCCGACCGCACAAATACAAATACCCGAGTACTGTGAATTGGGAAGAGAAGAAGAAGAGAGAGATTAGTGTCTTGGACACGTCATCCCTCTCTCTAGATCGCCTCTTTCTCTCCTTTTCCGCCGAATATGTTGAACAGCAAGGACCACCACTTCTGTGCTCTCATGCCTTCTTGACGTCTTCTAGCGTCTTCTGTATATTCCCCTAGTTTTATCACGCTCTTTCTCTGACTCACAAAATATCAAATAAGCACCATCTAACCAAATCAAACATTGACTGTTGTTGGGGCTTCTTTTATCAGTTCTCTACTATACACATTGCAATTTTTCGGTTCTTCTTCTGGTTCTTATACTTTTTAAATCATGTTGTTCATATTTTGAATTCTGTTAGTAACTCCAGTGTCTCTATCATCCAAAAATGGATCTCATCCGAAACAATCAGATCCTTGTAGCCCAAATGTTAAAGATTTTGGATTGACTACGCAATTATAGGAACGTGCCAAGACGAAGATCCTAGAGGACCTTTGTATGGGATGAGCATTAGAGATGAAGAGACACAGAGAAGAGAGAAATGGGGAATTCACCCGCAGCTGTCCTCGTCTTCTCCTCTCCTCCGAATGCCTAACGTACGAAGACTCATACATTCGGCACAACTGTCTGCGTATCTTCTAGTCTCCTTATCTATAGACACGTGTTTGAGGTCAACCCCAATAGATTGCACCTGTACGATTAGAAATGCTTATGCACTACTCATTATTGCACAGTACCACTATAGATAGAAAACAGTTGTATCTGCCAAAAAACTTAATTTTGGATTCCAAATTTAGATTCCATTTTGATGTTTCATTTTTCATGTTACCTACACTATTACAACGTATTACAATCCGACCAACATCTCATTTCCATTCCTGTATCCACATCAAGTTTTCCATCTCTTTCCAAAAGCTTCAACTCCAATTCCACATCTTTATTACTCTACTCCTCTGCCTTCTCTTGCTCCACATCCTCTTCTGATCGATTTCCTTTCAACTGAATCCATTCACCTTCTTTCTGTTCTTCTTCCTTTTTTCCTCTATGAATAGTGTAATGTTCAGAAAAACTTCCCCAACCCCTTTCTGTATTTCCTTAATTTTTAATAATAACTGATCAGTTAGCCAAAAGATGTTTGAATCCAAACTGAACTATTTATTATCGACTATTTCTGCACAGGTGTTCTTGATTCCTCCTGGCAAGAAAATGACCTTCCAACCACGCCCTTTGGGTTGCAGACACCACTACCCACAGTCCTTTTTACGCTATTCTCATTTATTTACCCCACCCACAGTCCTTTGTATGAGTTTGCATATCCAATTAAATCAATAATCCCAAAACTTGGACTAAATCTAGTTGTTCTCAAACCTCACTCATTCCACAGATTTATTTTGAAACCTGTTTTAAATAACTTTAAATAACAATGTTTGTGAAATCATGATAAACAATTGTTTGGTTGACAACTTTTTCCTTTGTCAGGAACTAAGATAAATTGGCTCAAAGTTAGGGTCCTTCTATCACAGGCTTTACGGCAGTCTTGCTTATCCAAATACTCTCTTTGTATTCCATGTTTCCTTTTTTCTATTAGGTTGAGCAAAAAGTCTTTGTAATTTTTTTTGCATGGTCATATCTCAGCGTTGGTTCAACTTTGTATTATTCTGTGTTTTATATGTTGTAGTACTAGTTGTGCATGTTTAAAACATTTGCAAAAAAAAGACAAAGGGTCCCAGCCAAGAAAACCTCCTAAACTGACATCAAAAGTGCACTTTACGTGAACAAGTTCTGTTGTCCATTCGATGAAGGCGTTATATTTAGAAGACTTCTTCCAGACGGTGTCGCTGACAACGCGGACCCAAACTGCACTCTAATAGAATAGTGGCCCAGGTGTATCGATTAAACCGTCCGAAAAATTTCAACTTGTTGACGATTCTTAACAACGCAAGGCCACCCACGAGTTTGAAGATATGCCAGAAGCTCCAGACGGTCGGAGTCCAGATCTTGTGTCAAATACCGTATTCAACAGACCTAGCCCTACTTGAATATCATATTTTATGTCCCCTGCCGAATCACCTCGACGGTCAAAATTATATGATAAAAGGGATGTCAAAAAGTGGTTGGACGACGTTTTTGCCTCCCAGTCTATCGAGTTCAACACGAATGGAATTGATCAACTTTCAGCACGTTGGCAAGAAGTCATTGATACTAATGATTGATATATCACACCATGAAATTCGTTTCCTTTGAATAACTTTCGTTTCAAAAAAAAACTCAAAAATTACAAAGACTTTTTGCTCAATCTAATATTTCCTATGCCTCTATGCATCAAGTATTTTTAGAATCCCATTTGGTTCATTATTATTAGAAGATATTTTTATTATTTATCAGAAGATGAAGCATGTTACACCTATCTTTTCTGTATCTATCACATCATCTCGTCGTAATCATTGTAAAACCTCATATTCGCCCTCTGATTTAACACCATCTCCCCGAAAAAAAATCCTCACACCACACTTCCGTTGAATTTGGATCTGCGTAACACCTGTAATAGAAGGGCCCCCAACCTATCAACTTTGAGCTCAATTATCTCAGTTTTTTTTTCTATCTTTGACAGGAATCGAGAAAAAGTGGCTCAAATTTGAAGGTGCCCTCCTATTACAGGTTTTACTGTATTAGAGTGTTTCGTCTTCTATCAGTTCTAATATTTTCTCATATCCCTTTCCAATTTTTTCAGTCGTTAAATTTGTTCCAATGATTATATTTTCAGGTATTAACCAAAAATTTCATCTGATACTCTCCCTCTCTTTTTGTCTCTTCGCTCCGATTTCAGCCACATCACACTGCTCAACAACACACTGCTCATTTTCTGTTTCGTAGTCTAGAAATTAGTAAGTTTCAGTTATCGGTCTTGAACTTCAGAAAACTGTTGCTAAAGCAGATTTTAGAAACTTGTTTCTTGAAGACAAAAGTTTGATATTAATCAATTTTCAGAAGTTAATCTGCGTTCTTATCCCTCTCGTCCCCTCGTAGGATAGAATTTGGTCAGAAGCAAACAAAAATTTCAGCTGCATTGTAGGAATAGAAAGTAGTGAGTGCTTTTGATATTTTATTCTAATTTGAAATAATTTCTCAGGAATAGGAAACAATGACGTCGAGCAGTTTAAGACGGTCTACAAGAGGGAAAAACACCCGGTTTCCTAGATCGTCGAAACCCCGTAAGTTGGTTTTTTGATTACCATAAAACCTGTATTGGAAGGGCTCCTCAAATTGAATGGCCCCTCCAATTCAGAATAATTCCGAAAATTAAGAGTGGACAATTCCAGAAATAACACCGGTAAAAACAAGGACTGTCACACTGCTCCCAGAGACAAAAGCAATGAAGAAGTTATTGTCGAAGGATACAAAAATGTTGACTGTGGCGCAAGCTGAGAAAATTGCCGCTTATCTCCGTATAATAGCTCTGAAAAACGGAAAGAGAAAGCCCAAGTCAAAAATAGGAATAGCGAAAAAATACCGGAAGAGAAACGGAGCTAGAGACAGTTCCTCAGAAACATCAAGTGAGGATTCAGAAGGAACGTCTTCGAAGGATTGGAGCAACATCATCAAAGCCCAACCAGATGTGACCAACAAAAAAGAAGACAAAAGTGTTCCAGGAGAAACTTATAGTATTGGAAATCTTCGGACGAAGGATTCCATTCGAAAAGACTTGAAAGTTGTGAAATGGAATGAAGAAGAGAATCTCATACAATGTGAGATTCAAGCTCGACTGGCAATTCAAACTGATCCAGAGCTTCGAGGATTCTATAAAAGGAAAATAGACCCGAGGATTCACAACGGTGAGATGAAGACGATGGTCAGAATACACCAAATCCTAGTTGAAAAGAAAGGAACGCTTGATATTGTTTTCAATGAGTAAGTTCAGTTTTTTTTTTGAATTTTAAAGATTTGAATTGTGTCCAGGGCATTGCTCAAATTCATCAAGAACGAAAGATATTTGCCACCAAAGCAGAGACTGCTAATGATAGGAAACAAGTCATTGGATTGGCAGACAAATGTGAAGGTCTTTTCGGATATTCCAAAGGAGAATCCAGCCAACGCAGATATTCCCAACACAATGCTCTATCGATACACCAACAGTCTTCATGTCGATAAGAAGAAGTTTAAAAATCTTCTTGATCTGGGAAAAACTGAGGTAATTTAACTTGTTCTTGTTAGTCTTTCCTAATTCGCCCCTATGCTTACACTTTGAGCTCACTAACCTCGGTTTCTATGAAAGATGTCAAAAAGGTATCAACTGATAAAATTTTGGTGGCATTATGGGAAACATTTTATCAAATGACAGATTTTTGTTATCTTTTATATTAGGTTGTTCGGGAAGTCCTTTCCATTTTTGATGTGTTGTTTTCAAACTTTGTTTTTTCGAACGGGGTAAAAGCGAGGAAGATGTCGTTTCATCAGTATATTGGTGGGGTCTAATAGTGTCTACACTCAAACGGAGATCATTCTCCACTTCCCGTGAAGTGAGATATGCCCACCGTTTTTGCGCCTAACAATTTCCATTTTCAGACTGCCATTTTTTTATTTGTTTCTATCTGATCTTAAATTAGCTCGATCGTCAATCAGTGGATGTTAACAACGCAGATGTACCCTTTCAAACTACTATTACAACCTGGATTCATCAATTTGAAAAAGCAGAATTCTCGTTGGACAAAAATCCAAAAAAGCGAAACGGGCTTAGGCTTTTATGCATTAAAAGCCGGGATGAAAAGAGATCCCTCATCCTGCGTTACACACATGAATGTTGGAATCAAACCATTACTAGTGGTGATAAATGTTAATGTATGATTACAATAAATGACACGCTAAGTGGGTTCACAAAGACGCTCAACCACCAGTCGTCCCGAAACGTGAAATTCATGTTGAAAATGGGATGTTATCGGTATGGTGGTCTACCAAGAAGTGAAGTATTGGGAGCGGCCCGATAATGGTGTCACTGTAACTACCGGGACTTATTCTTGTCAAGTGACATAACTCAAACTCCATGTGAATCTCCATTGGAGAGAAACACAAAGATCAATTTTCAAAATTAAAATCCGCAACCTCATGCGGGAAGGAAGACCCAGGCCGACCTCGGTGGATATACCTTGACGATTCTGCTTTATTCAATGTATAGCTCTAACTTTCAACTTTCTGACTATTACCAATCCCGCCATTTCTAACGTCATCTTGATTGACAAAAATTCACTTCAAAACAACATATCAAAAATGGGTTGACTTGATTTCCAACTCGCTGTGTCCGGAGTTCTGGAAGGAAGGCATCCACAATTTAGTGGGACATTGGCAGATAGTCATTGATAACAATAGGCATTACCTCTAATTTATCTGACATCGTTTTGACCTTTTTTACATTGAATGTTTCTGATGCCAAAAATGGAAAGGAATTTCCGAACAACCTAATAGAAACTGAGATAATTAAGCTGAACCTGCAAGTATACGATAGCCTTCTATTAGAGTGTTTACGTTATATGATTAAGGCTTCTTAATTAACCAACACACTTATTTTTCCAGGTTAAGTGTGAGTGTTGCCACAGTGGATCGGTAGTACCATGCTGGGCCAATGAAAAATGTCCCTGCTACAAACAGAATGTGCGGCTGCGAGGAATCCAAAAAATAATGAATCAAATGTCACACTCAAGAACAAACTTTGTAAGTTTTCATACGGTTTTATAATAGCTAAATACCCATCATTTTCAGTCCACATTTGAGCCAATATACCTGCGAGACAACGACTCATACTTTGATACGTTTGGGTTTGCATGTTCCGAATCGTGTGGATGCAAGGGACGGTGTACAAACAATGTCACTCTTCTACTAGAGAAGGACATTTATCAGTTGGAAGTGTTCCGAAAAAATGCCAATATGGGATTTGGAATAAGAACGAACACAGCAATCCCAAGAGGTTCGTGTTTTTATTAAGTAGCAGAGATGAAACTCGAATTTGTCTGTTAGAGTGTCAGATTTCTATCCGTAACGGATTCGTTTCGGGGGGCGAATGGTGAAACATCCAGATAGTTTGTGAATTATAGTGAAAACTCTAATGCATAGAAGGTCACCTTATATTTGCACTTTGAGCTCAATTACCTCAATTTCCATGATATATTAAAAAGGTACGGAGTGATAAAATGTGGGGATCTTATGTCAAGCATTTTATCAGTTCATAGATTTTTGTTATCTCTTATAAAAGTTGATTAAATTGAGCTCAATGTGCAAGTATACAGTGCCCTTCTATTAGAGTTTTACAGTACTTTTGAATGATTTCATTAGACACCAAACAATGTTATAATTTCAGGTACTCCTATTCTTGAGTTCACCGGAGAACTTGTTCAGGGAAAAGTTCCCGTGTCGGATGGAGACTATGTCTATTCCGTCTTCCAGGAGGCAGAGAACGGCGAGGACTTGATTTCCGCAACTCTAATGAAAGAAAAGAAAGTGAATAAGAAACAGGTTCAGGAGTTGAAAGAACATCTTGCCGAAGGAAAAGAATGGTTCATAAACCCAAAGAGAATTGGCAATCTGGCGCGTACCTGTTGTCACAGCTGTGAACCCAATCTTTCATTGGTTCGAGTCTTTCAAAAAGGATTCACTCCAGCACACTGCCGACTCATTCTTGTAACTCAGGAAGTCGTGTTCCCAGGAGTAGAAGTAAGAATTTATACAATTCATAAAACACTTCTATTTTTCATTTTTCAGTTAACCTTCGATTATGGAGCAAAATATATAGAGGAGCATTTAAAAAATAATTGCCTCTGTGGAAGAGCCAGCTGTAAAAGCTCGCCCTTATACAAAATGATGGATGAGGCAAATGAGAAATCTGTGAGTTAAAATTAAAAACTACAAGTTTGAAGTGTTTTATTTTCAGCTCGAGATGTACCAGACCCTGAGATATCACTACCGATACAATGATTACAAAACAAAGGTACTGGATCCAATCGAAGAAAAAGTTGCAGCAGGCACATCCTCTACATAATCGCTTTATTATTCTGATTTAATTTTTCATCTGTTATTTTTTTGTTTGTTTGAAGATTTCATTTTTCTAACTGGTTCTCCAAATCCTGTCATTCATGTCTATTTCATTTTCTTATCCAATTTGTACATTGTCAATTTTGCCGTTATCATTTTTCATTCCCGTTACCTTATATATTCTGAATTATGAGTATTTTCAAATCCATCACATGCTTTCCCCCACAATTGAATCTTTCTTTGATTGTCTTTCTCCTAATTTTTTTGATACAAGGAATCTCTCAATTTTACAAACTTCTTTCATTTTATTCCAACAATAAAAAATCACAATTTGTACTTTACATCCATTCTTTTTTCTTCAATATCCAGAATCTCATTTCTCGACGGTACCAAAGGAATATATGTCAGCCATCTGTGTTTCAGAAAAAACCTGAAATAAAAAACTAAATACAGTGCGTTGCAGGTTCTTACGACCACCCATGTTTAGGGTCATAACTTGAGAGCTGTTAGATGTATCGACCTAATTTTTGAAAATCGGATTCGAGACAACAAGTTAAATATTGAGGACAATTTTTGTGATGAAACCTTAAAAACTACCCGAGTTATCTGGAAAAGTCTGAAAATATGACTTTTGCAACCTTTGCAAGTTTATACATCCTCTTCAAAGATCAGTAGATCACCACCTCAAGCGAAGACGGAGGTGTCCAATTTTGGTTCTTCCTTCTTGGAAACGGGCTTGGAAAAGAGAAAAAAGAAACGGAAGATGTAAAAAAGGGATTTATTGAAAAATAAATTTCAAATATAGATATTCCTGAACATAATGAACATATTAAATTATGAAAAATGAACATATTAAATTATGAAAAATGAACATATTAAATTATGAAAAATGAAAAGTTTCAAAAGTGTACTGATTAGCCAGACTTTCGTCTGTTGATCCCTTTCGCCACGTAGAGGCTCAGTACATGAAAGGGAAAATGGGTTTTCACTGGGGGAAAACACCAACACAAAACCCCTGTCTCCGAGGAGACAGTTTTCTAATTTTCAATAGTTCTTTTTCACTGCTAAAAAGCTATACGATCGCTATTTATTGTTTTTCTTCGTTCGTTTCTTTTTTTCTTTGATTGAGTCTTTTGCAAAAGGGGGACGTTCAGTGAAAATGAATTCACCTAGCCATGAACCACCAAACATGGCGACCCTGAGGGCCTTTTATAACTTTTTTCGCATCCGACCAATCGAAAGAAAAAAGCTAATGAAACAATAAACAGCTTTCGCAGGGAGCTTCAGAGCAGTCAAAAAGTGCTAGTGAAAATTATCAAACTAATTCAAAAAGTGGGATTTCTTCAAGGATTGTTTTTTTCAAATTTTTACAACGTGGACAGAGGTAGGGGGCGTGACCTAATATTGATTGATTTAAAGGTTTATTGCGTAACGTGTGAAAAGTTTACAGAACTCGAAAATTGAATGTATACTTGGATTGAAGTAGATATTAGGTCACGCCCACCACTCTCCACGTTGAAAAATTCCACGTATTGAAAAAAAACAGTCCTTTGGGACTGTTTTTTAGCGATCGTATAGCTTTTTAGCAGTGAAAAAGAACTATTGAAAATTAGAAAACTGTCTCCTCGGAGACAGGGGTTTTGTGTTGGTGTTTTCCCCCAGTGAAAACCCATTTTCCCTTTCATGTACTGAGCCTCTACGTGGCGAAAGGGATCAACAGACGAAAGTCTGGCTAATCAGTACACTTTTGAAACTTTTCATTTTTCATAATTTAATATGTTCATTTTTCATAATTTAATATGTTCATTATGTTCAGGAATATCTATATTTAATATGTTCAGGAATATCTATATTTGAAATTTATTTTTCAATAAATCCCTTTTTTACATCTTCCGTTTCTTTTTTCTCATTTCCAAGCCCGTTTCCAAGAAGGAAGAACCAAAATTGGACACCTCCGTCTTCGCTTGAGGTGGTGATCTACTGATCTTTGAAGAGGATGTATAAACTTGCAAAGGTTGCAAAAGTCATATTTTCAGACTTTTCCAGATAACTCGGGTAGTTTTTAAGGTTTCATCACAAAAATTGTCCTCAATATTTATTTTGTTGTCTCGAATCCGATTTTTAAAAATTAAGCCGATACCTCTAACAGCTCTCAAGTTATGACCCTAACCATGGGTGGACGTAAGAACCTGAAACGCACTGTATTCCACATTCAAAGGACATCCTACCTATTTAGAGTAGAAGGCAGTGCGTAGCCATTATTTTCAATAAGAATCTCCTCATCTCCAACGTCATCTGAGCTTCTGAACCCACGTTGTTCTCTTGTTGCTCCTGGAAACCGAAATTTCAATAATAAAACAATGGTTAGTGACGGACCAGAAGCAATATTATCAAGTACAAATGCAATAATTCCACCTATTAACATTCGGATAGTCAGAAGAGTTCCAAATACATTATCAACCATTTGATTTCCAGTTTTCAATGGATTATTCTCAAAGTGTAGTGCAACAGTCAACCCCATTATTATTGAGATTCCCATTATGTTCAAATTTCTAGAAAGGCGAAGATCCACTGTCTGAAACCAAGGATTATTGTGATCAATTCAGTTCCATTCCATACCATTAGATTTCTCAGTAGGACCCCATTAACCATACATATTCCGATTGCTAGAACTCCGCCCACAACGGGCTCCGGAATCATTGCAAGGACGGCAGAGAATTTGGAAAATATTCCAGCAATCAACAAAAACAGACCAGCTACCTGCATTGTTATTCGACTCGAAACTTTTGTTACAGACATAATAGCAATATTTTCAGCGTATGTTGTAACTCCAGTGCCAATTCCAAATGATGAAGCAAGCATACATCCAATACCTTCAACTATAAATCCACGATTCAAATTCGATTCAGGAATTTTTCCTTGCTTCGAAAGTTTCGCACAGAGATCTGGAAAACATAATCATTTTCAGACGGTTGTAGGTGTTTTTCCTACTGTAATCTCCTATACTTTCAATCATTGCAACAAAACTAGATGCAATAAATCCACATAACAGAGAAACGTCTACTATTGGTGTTCCATATTGACCAGGAATCGAAAAATGAATCCAAGGAGTGCTTCTCAACGTTTCGATGCTTGAGTTTTGATCAGTTCTAGCTGAACTGTTGACTGGAATCGCATTGGTGACTGTTAAAATAAAACAAATGAACCAGCCGATGGCAATACCAATGATATACTGAAAAGTATTTTAAAAACAGAATACAGTATACTTGTATTTTGAGTTTAATTATCTCACTTTTTATAAGAGATATCAAAAATCTATCAATTGATAAAACGTTGGGGATATAATGAAAAACACTTTATCAGTTGATAGGTTTTTGTTCTCTTAAAGAAATTGAGCTGATTGAGCTCAAATTCAAGTATAGGATAGGTTTCTCACCGGAAACTGGCTCAAAATTTTCCTTCTGGCAACATAAAACTTTTTATCCTTGAATGAAAATGCAGGAATCGGCATTTCCCAATGCTCCAACAAAACAATGAACACAACAAGAATGAGGAATTCCCTTCAAAGGAAAGAATCAATATTCTTCACAACTATCCCAACTAACACAGATGGCATCCAATGTAATGCCATTTTTTGCTCAACATCCGGCACAGCACTAATTGTCAGAAGAGTCATAATAGGTACGATTGTGATTGGACCAATGAATTTCGAAAGGAAACCAATCAATCCAGTGATTCCAAAAAGAGGCATCACTAGAACTGCGACCAGACAACTACCTGATATCTGCAAGTTTTATGATTACAAAAAATAATGATTAGTGAACACCATCTGCATTTTATGCTGCCATAAACTTGTATCTGTTTGCTCATTGCACGGATATGTTGCTTGGAAAGTATTGAGAACGGGGAGATAAGCAAACGATGGACCATGAAGAATAGCCAGTCTGGAACATTTGGAGTTGTTCTACTTGGAATTAGAAAATTCAAAAACCTCATTCCAAAAGTAGTTTGTAGCAAAGTAGCTACTCCAGATGTGACAAAGGAAGCAGATATAAGTTGAACTCTGCAAATATTAAAACACTTGGAATACAGAAAATTTTGTAATAGAAGGGCACACATACGGTAAAATTTGTGAAATTTAATTATCTCGCTTGATATAAGAGATATCAAAAATGTGTCAACTGACAAAACACTACTAATATTATTATAAACAATTTATCAAATTACAACTTTTTTGTATCTTTGATAGGAATCGAAAAAAATCAGCTCAAAGTTTAAAGATAGAGGCTCTTCTATTACAGGTTTTAAGGCTCACCGTATTTCAGTTTCTTTGTCTCCGGGACAAACCATACCAGAAACCAAATATGGAACTACAAGAAGCATTGAAAGACATATCATCATTTGCTGAAAATAACAAAGAGCACTGTCAAAAACAAAAATATAGATATACCTGGAATCCCAGAAGAAGAATAGTTGGAATCGAAGGAATATCATTTACATGATGAACAAGATCGTCCTTTTCTTCCTTCATTTTCATTTTCAACTGTTTCGTTTTCTTATCGAAAGAAAACTAATAAAATGTATGACGGAAATGAAGTTCGACATTTCACCATCCCAATAATTTGAGAACTACTTTTATTGTTAAGAAGCACTTTTAGATGTTTCAGACTATCAAATAATAATGGAATACTTTCATACCCTCCAGTCAATACTTGTGAAAAAATTTTGTTAATTATGTGTCTCTCTCGATCAAGCATTCATTCACTGATTCATTTTTTATTAAGTTAGTTATTACAGATCACTAGTAGTGCATGCGTTCCTATTGTTGTAGAGAATGCATGAATCCAAGTTTCCTAAACTTTTTGGAACTGTATATGAACTTGTATCCCTGGAAAATATAATTTTCATTGAGAGGAATAAGAAGAACCACTTGCATGTTTTGGTCCAACAGCTTCTCTGGTAGTCGGGATTCCAGAAATCTTACTATCTAAAAGTTGTATTTTCTATTGAATTTGATGCTTCCTTCCTTCTTACTCTCAGAAATTGATTTCATTGTGATCTCAACATGAGTGAGACACTCTTCATTCTCTGAAGCCAAATGTTCACTTGATTCATCCAGGCAAACAATCAAATTATCTACACAATCTTCATAGTTTCGAGGATTCCGATCAGGAAGAAGTCTCATATAACAGATCATATGGTTGTATGCACAAGAAGAAAAAGTGGCTGCAACAAATCTTGTTTTATTTATTTGCCAAATAATCGTTACTGTTCATTTTTGGACATTTTTCATATAATTCCAAGTAGTTCTTTTCAACAGTCTTATTGAGGGCAGGAGCGTAACCGGCGATTGGTTTTTTTGCATCTAAAATGTTCTCAATCTACGTTGTTCTCTTTTTCCTAACGCTTAAACTAACTGGATTCGCCATAAAACATTACTCCAGCAAAACATATACTAGCCTTGGCTGTATTTGTCCATATCCCCGAGCACAACATTCCAGAGGATTTAAATTCCAAAGATTTCTGAAACACACTAACTATAAGAATGATCTTCTCATTTTGTTGGAACTCACTTTCAAGCAATCGAAAAACGACTGATCACATTTTTTTCTTCCTCTTGCTAATCCATAGCAATCATCATGGATTGAACAGCACATGTTCATTTCGGCTGCAAATCTTTAGAAATACAGAAGATATTCATAGACTATAAATACCTAGTTTATCCCAACAGAAGTTAAAATACTTCGTTATTTTCTCAGTGTTCCCAGCTCCACACTGCCACTGATCCGAGTTCATGTAGTTTTCAGAGTTGAATTTGCTGAAACGTTGTTTCCTTTTGTTTTTGAAACTAGCACAACATTTACGAACTGCTCTTCATTGGTTATTTTTCTTTGATAACTGGGAGTAGTAGTATTGGAGTCCATGAGGCATTGGAATATATCCCAGAAGATTTCTAAAAATTACAATTTGCCTGGATTCGTTAGAAAAACTCAACCGCTTGGAGATGATGTCACATAGCTCGATGCTACTAGTAGAAGGAGAAGTCCACGAAGCATGGCTGGTTCCGTAATTGAAGTTTTAAAGTCTTAGATTCACTACTATTAATGGTTGTTCTAGTGACCCGATCTAGCCTTCGTACTCTGTTCACCTTCCCTGGTTCTGAGTTCTTTGAGTTATAAAAAGTATTTGCTTAGAAAAGAATGACTTTTTTGTGATTCTGTATTTTGTGGACCAAAACATAATTTTTCTTCTGTTGTAAATATTGTCATTTTCCAGGGTACCGAGCTCGAATTCGTAATCATGTCATAGCTGTTTCCTGTGTGAAATTGTTATCCGCTCACAATTCCACACAACATACGAGCCGGAAGCATAAAGTGTAAAGCCTGGGGTGCCTAATGAGTGAGCTAACTCACATTAATTGCGTTGCGCTCACTGCCCGCTTTCCAGTCGGGAAACCTGTCGTGCCAGCTGCATTAATGAATCGGCCAACGCGCGGGGAGAGGCGGTTTGCGTATTGGGCGCTCTTCCGCTTCCTCGCTCACTGACTCGCTGCGCTCGGTCGTTCGGCTGCGGCGAGCGGTATCAACTCACTCAAAGGCGGTAATACGGCTATCCACAGAATCATGGGATAACGCATGAAAGAACATGTGAGCAAAAGGCCAGCAAAAGGCCATGAACCGTAAAAAGGC